ACACGCTGTGGAACAGAGGAAGGACGAAGTGCCATAGTGTGTGTGCAGGGGACTGGTGGAGGACGAACACGACGAGCACGACGAACAGTGCGAACAGGCGAGGCAGGACGAGACGCAGGCTCATGACGCTCTGACAGGGAGTCTGTCTGCTCAGTGTAAGGAGAAGGAGCAGGCAGTGGGGAGTCAGGCTGTAACTGCGGCTGTGACTGGTCAGGCGGAGGACATAGTAGAGGTGGAATAAGGCCATTGGAAGATAAGACTAAGAACCTGGCGAAGCGCCGAGTCAGGTGGTGGCAGCGACGACTGCGACTGAGGCAAGAAAAACATTCGCCCCTGCGCAGTACCCATAGTACCAGAACCTCCAGCTCCAGTACCTCCAGTAACAGCACCTCTAGTACCTCCAGCTCAAGTACCTCCAGCACCAGCACCTTCAGGACCAGCAGCTAAAGTACCTCCAGCACCAGTACCTCTAGCACCAGCACCTCCAGCACTAGCACCTCCAGCACCTACAGCTCCAGTACCTCCAGCACCTCCAGCTCCAGCACCGCCAGCACCAGCACCTCCATCACCAACAGCTCCAGCAGCAATACCTCCAGCACCAGCGCCTCCAACACCTCCAGCTCCAGCACCTCCAGCACCAGCAGCTCCAGCCCCGCCACCAGAGCGGCCTCGCCGAATAACCCACTCACGAAGCTGCTGCGGCGAGAGGGCCTCCTGCCGACGAGACTGGTGTTGCTGTACACCCCCATAACCTCCAGCAGGAGCACCCACGACTCCACCACCACTAGGACGCTCAGCACCCCAAGAACCAGCACCCCCAGACTCAGCACCCCCAGAACCAGCACCTCTAGAGTCAGCACCCCCGGGACCAGCACCCCCTGAGTCCGCACCTCCAGTGTCACCACCCCCAGCAGCACCGAAGTCCACAGGGACAGGCTGCATAGGCGGCGAAGACGGTCGAGGCGGAAAAACAGGAGGGGTCTTCAAGCGCGGTGAGCGGCGAGTGGCCGCTGTGTCGTCAACAGCAGGGTCACCCCCATCAGTTGGGCCAGAGGTGTCAGAGGAGACCTCCAAAGGCTCAACCAAGGGGGGCGGGTCAACCTGAGACACACCTGAGGGAGCAGGACCCTGTGGGGGGAGGGGGTCTACCGGGGGGGGACCCGGAAGGGACGGGGGAAGTGCTGTGGGGGAAGAGACGATAGTAGCCAACCGACTCGTCAAAGGTGACGTCCTGGGAGGACAGGACGCGACGCGTGGCTGGGTCATAAAACTGCCAGCCAGGCACGTCGGTGGGAAAGCCAAGGAAGACGCAGCGAACGGTGCGAGAAGAGAGTTTGCCCGCGGTGGTATCGCGGACAAAGGCAAGCGAGCCCCAGACCCGAAACGCCGACGCATCGCCAACCTCCCCCGTCCAACGCAGTGTAGGCGAGGTCTCTGACACGGAGACACGGGGCCAGAGGTTGAGCTGATGCGCGGCGTATCGGACCGCAAACAGCCACAAAAAATGGGGAGCAGCCGCATGGATCATGGAGGTGCGAGCAACCTCGGGCGGAGAGGCCGGAAGCGTGAACGACTAAAAGATGCCCTCCTCACGACAGAAGTCCTCAAGGAGGCGGGAGGAAAACTCACCACCTCGGTCAGAGTGCAGTCGCAGGACCTGGAGGTCCTGCTGGAGCCGTGCGCTCAGCTGGCGACGGACAGCGCGGATCCAAGGGATCAACACACTGCGAACATCCGCCTTGCTCTACAAGGGGAAGACCGTGGCGTAGCGCGTGTAGTCGTCAACAACCAGCAGAAAGTAGCGCTTTTGGTCCTGTCCACTAACGCGGGCGGGGCCCCATACGTCCATGTGGAGAGTCTGAAGAGGAGCAGTGGTCGGAGGAAACGAGGAGGAGTGAGGTGCGGCGCGCTGCCGCCCCTCGATGCAGGGATGGCACGGTGGTGCAAGCGACCACGAGAGCGGGGGCAGGGACCTGGGGAGGCCAGAGACAAGGAGACGGGAGTGCATGCTACGCAGACGGGGCAGGGAGGGGTGACCCAGACGGTGGTGCCAGAGGAGAGACGGGTGCGTTAGGAACCGACACGAGCAAGACGCAGCTACGTAGCCGGACGCAGCTACCTGTGCGGACTCAGTGGTCAGTTTGCACAGGCCAGACCCGGGTCTCCGAGTGAACGTAGGGAGGTGGGTGCCAGTCCGAGGGTCCGTATAGATCACCACAAGATCACCCCCAGGAGTCGTGGTAGTGACCACTGGTCCTGGAGGACAGCGTTACTCACCGAGTTCGTAGCGAACGAGGGGAGGTGGAGACCTGTGAGGGAGCCGGAGGGGGCTGCCAGGCACGGGAGAATGGTAGAGCCACGTGCAACGACTGGGCCACCAGAGGGGTCAGCCAGAGTGACCGGGACAGGTGTAGTGAGCGGTGTGACTGTGGTGCAGTCGAGACGCGCCTGAGTCAAGCGTGAAGGTGTGCAAAGCCTCCGCAGGGGCTGCACGTGTGCTAGCAGGCTCGCAGGCACCTAGCCTCTACACCACCAGGGACGCGTCGCTGGGAAACCCACTCCCGAAGCTGCTGCGACAAGAGAGTCTCCTGCTGACGCTGCTGCCGCTGCTGTTTACCCCCAGAACCTCCGCCTCCACCAGCGGCACCTGACGAAAGTGGGCCCTCTGGTCACCGACAGGTGAGCTCGGACGGCAAGCTGTGCGACAGCGTCGCGCTCCGTCCACTGTGTGTAGGCAAGGCTGTCCGCCCAGTACCGCCACTGCACGTCCTCGTCAGCGTCAGCAGCAGGCTCAATGGGAGTCGTGGGGGGCTGAAGGGACCCCGACGTGTGCTCGAGCAGGGAGACGCCATCTCTCATGAAACGCCGGAGATTCATGCGCAGGCACGTAAGCCACAACCCTAACTTGAAAGGGCGTCCGTCTGTGTCAACCGCTAAGACCGTGATAGTGCCCATGACGGGCAGCGGCAGTCAGCAGCAGCGACGCAAGGGTGGAAGTGGCAGCTGTAGCGGCAGCGGGTGCCTGTAGCGGTAGGTGCTGCGGCTGTGGCAGCTGTAACAGCGGCTGCAGTAGCTGTAGTGGCTGCTGCAGTTGGTGCAGCGGCAGTTGCTGCGGTTGTGGCAGCTGTAGCGGCTGTTGTAGTAATTGTTGCCGCCACTGCAGTGGTTGTAGCGGCAGCTATGGCAGGAGCGGCAGCTGCAGGGCAGCGGGGCGTGCGAGCGCGGTGCGCGGGGCAGCACACAGGCAGAGCAGCGCACACAGGCACGCGCAGCGCGCGAGGCAGCGTATGGGCATGGCGGGGAGCAGTGCGCGCGCAGCTAGGGCAGCGCGCTCATGGCTAGGGCAGCGCGGCGGGCGGCTAGGGCAGCGCGCGGGCAGTTAGGGCAGCGCGTGGGCAGCTAGGGCAGCGCGCGGGCGGCTAGGGCAGCGCGCGCGCAGCAGGGCGCGCGGGGCGCGCAGGGCAGCAGGGCGCGCGGGGCGCGCGGGCAGCAGGGCGCGCGGGGCGCGCGGGGCGCGCGGGCAGCAGGACGCGCGTGGCTCGCGGGGCGCGCAGGGAAGTAGGGCGCGGGGGGCAGCTGGGCACGCGCGACGCGCGGGGCAGCAGGGCAGTGGCGCGCGTTGTGCGGGACAGTGGGGAAGTGGCGCTCGAGGTGCAGGGCAGCGGGGCAAACCTAACCTAATCGTAGGTTCGGTAGTCGGACCTAACCTAGCGCATGATATCATCAGAATGAGAGTACAGCTGAATGATTTGACTAGATAGGATTGGGGTACAAGTACTAACCCTAGAATGTGTTGTACCCCATATGAAGTGCCCCATTATAGCCTAACAAGCACAATTGCAATTTGACACTAGCACCTCACTCTGTCCAATCGATCCTTCAGTTGTCATGACAAAGACAATGTGAGGAAGCTTCAGGCCGAAGTCTTCGGGCCGAGCTTGGGGTTGTTCCAGGTGAAAAGGTAATTTTCCACATTTTTTTATTGATTTCTTTATTTCTTTCTGGAAATTGAAGATAAAATGAGGAAAACGCAAGAAGGAATGTGATTTTGTTTTTACAATACATGAAGTATACTGTGTTGTTCAATTTCGTTAGTTGCTTTCTCCACAGTCGAATGAACGCTTGGTGTACGTTCACCATATCAGTTCAGCCTGAGCAATTATGAACATGGCTCGTCTTGATTCGTCGTCACCTTTGCGTAACCTGCGCAAAACTCTTGACAGGCACGCTCTGACAAGTGCACCGTTTCAGAACACCCAACAGCCTACTCAGCGAAAAGAGAAAGAATCGTCTTCACCCTAAGGCGAAATGCGTTCCTCTCGCGAAAGCCAAGGTAGCGGAATCCCTGAACGCTTGCGAAATTTTGACCCCATCAGGCGGGACCAAAAATGGCATTCATCGTCAGTGGCGGCTACGTGTCGTTCCCGCGCCGCGCATGGCAGTGCAGTACACCGTCGAGGCGCCTTTATCTATCCTCAAGTACACTGTACACCGCGACCCGCATCATTGCCTGATGTAACGCCATGCGTCGGCTTTACATTGGTGAACGACCTCTGGCCCACTTCATTCTGAGCGCGACTTGGCTCGCGCGAAAATCAGCTGGATGTCTCCGCGTCTCCATCCATCCATCCTTTCGCAGTCATGCTGCTGCCAGTGGCTCCTCTCACCACCACTCCCTTCTTCCCTCCCCCCATATTCAACAGTCACTGCGATTCCTCACTGCCGAATGTCATGTCAGAGTGCTGCTGAACTCGACACCCATTCTGATGCTCCTCCATTGGAGCTATAATGCAATTCCATCAACTTCGAAAGTGCATGACCCTTTTCGTGCGACTCTTCATCTGACGACAGCAGCGACTATCAGGCATTGGCTTCCCGCATAGTCTCGCCGTTGAGCTAGCGATATCTTTCTATGCTTCCTTCCAAGCGAGCTTAGTTTCAAGCCACAAGTCTAGCAGCTTTGTGATTTGAACAACCACGGCGCCGCTTTTAGAGTCAGCATGGCTAGTCAAATCCAGGTCGCGAGCTTGCAAGGACAGGAAGACTGGGAAGAAGAGTATCGGCCGCTGCCGCTACTATTCGTGTGCTCGCTAGCTATCTGGGCGGTGCTTTTCGGAGTCTGGATTTGGAACACGTGGGTGAAGCGTCAATGGCAGGTACGCTGCGATTGCACGCTTTACCCTACGCTCCTGAAGTGGTGGTTATACTCTCTCTGATTAGCTCGTTCTGATCCATCGCCGCGCGTCGTTTCGTGCAGACGAGTTACCTCCAGTGGGCCCTTGCTCTCGTACCAGCGCTCAAGTGCGTCGTCCTCGGCCTATCCTTCTTCTTCTGGTTAGTGCGCCTCCCACTTTTGAACATCGCAACTGGCCGTTGTTCATCTATAATAGTTTCAGTGACTGACGAGCCGTTCGACTTAAAAATCGACGTGACGCTGCTGACGAGGGACCCAGACTATATTGTAACTTGATCCAGCATTCGACTAGAGTAGCATAATTAATCCGATTGTCATCACCCGGCCAGGAAGACCTTTACCGTATGATCAACTTTTAGATCGTCAGGAGAAGGGGGTTAGACGCCTGATTTCAAATACTGTAAGGAACGATGTACTAGCTTAGACCGTCTTGAACAAGAACCTTGGATCTTTTGGTTAGCATTCTGTCAGTAGGCCCCGTTTTACGCTCATGATTCGTTGTCTTAGCGCTAAACGTTCCGTTCGATTCTCTTCTGCACTCTTCACCCGCTACTCTCTTGTCTGTCGTCCTCCAGGCACTGGTGCTTGCACTTCGACTCATGCTCCTTCTGGGTCGCTTTCGGCGTCTTCGTCTCGCGAATCTTCTTCGAAACCACGTGCTTCATCATGTTCCTGCTTATCGCGCATGGCCTGGGCATCACGCAGGATTCGCTATCCATGGCGCAGAGGCGCTCTATAGCGGGTCTCAGCGGCATGCTCTACATCTCTATTACCGCGTACAAGGCGGCGCTGCCGCACTTCCAGATCATTTTAACAGGCGTCTACACTCTACTGCTCTACGCCATATTCTCGAATGTTGCGCGGAGAATGGGCGCGCTGCAGGAGCAGCTGCGGCAGGCGGAGGCGGAGGGCGCGGCGGTGGAGGGGGGCGCGGGGAGCGCGCTGTACCCTGCGCTGCTGCACCGCCTGGCGCTGTTCCGCCGGTTCCAGGGCGCCATGCTGGCCATCGTCTTCATCGAGATAATCGTGAGTTTATAATCAGCAGAACGACGTAACTTGCAACCAAGGTTCCGTTTCTTCTCGCTGCGTTTTCTTTCGTATTCGCATCCCTAATCGCGCTAACCCTATCATGTTCGTCCGCGTAATTTCGGCGTTTTTATTGCTTCCCTTTCTTCATCGCCTGACTCCGCAACTCATTCCATTCGTCTTTCATCCGTGCCTCTCCCGCGCCGTGCAGCTTCAAACCAAGTCGGACGTGCTGGGTCCCTACTGGGTGCGGCTGCAGCTGAGGGAGGTGGCGGAGGTCGCCGTATTCCTCTTTATAGGGTGAGACCTCGCTCTCCCACTTGCTGCCCTGATCGGTTCCGCTTGATCGCTTGCCGCTGTCATCTCTTCCCGTTGAGACACGGCACTGTCTGTGTTGGATCGCGTCGTCTTGCGATCCCCGCGTCCTGTGCAGTTCCGCACGCACTTCGCCCTTCATCTCTTCTCATATTGCTTGGCACTCCGCCGCTTCTCCCCCTACTCGTGATTTCCCCGTTCCGCGCGCGGCAGGTGGACGTTCCGGTCGCGGGTGATGGCGCCAATATTCATGCTGCTGCCCGCGGAGCAGCACGCTCTCCCGCCCATCCACCGCGTCGTGAGTGAACTGCTCCCCGCCCGCTCCCCGCCACTCCCCCCCGCCCTTCCTTTGACTGCGAACCTTGCCTTGTATTCATCCCTTCACCCCTGTCGCGTCCAGTTTAGGTCAGACAATCCAGCAGTTGTCGCAGCAGCAGCGTACTTACCTAAGAACGTCCAGCACCTAAGCTTCTCTTCACCCGCAATTCCCCCTCCCTGTCTTCCGTCCGTTTGTGATCATGGCAGGACATGGACGACAAGGGCTTTCAACGGCTGAGATCAAAGGACTGGACCATCGGAATTTGCACGACGAGCGTCTCCTCCTCCGCGTCTGCTGGCAGTGCTGGCTTCGCGTGTAACGCGGGAGCGCCCATGGTAGTTGTCGTTCAAAACCCACAAGCAGCCTCGCCCTCGCTGTCCCCGGCTATCCACCCCAACTCCATGCCGCCGTCACTCGCCCCCTCCCCCCTTCGCCCACCCGCGGGTTCTTCCCCGCTTGCTGGCACGTCATCTCCACTCCCGCCACCGCTGCTGCCGCTGTCGCTCTCGTCTCCGCTCCTGTCTCCCAACTCCAGACTACCCGCGGAAGGGCCAGTGCCTCTCAGCCTCCCCTTGGGCCTCTCGCTACCAACACCGCTGCCGGCCTCGATACATGTAGCTGTGCACTCGCCTGGGCATATGAACGTGGGAATGCCTGTTCTGCCGAGGGTGCAGAGCCCGCTGGTGCCTCAACAACCACAGGAGATGGCGGAGCAGGGAATACCGCAACAAGGGCAGACGCTATAGCAGTCACCAAGATAGTAGCAGAAGCAGGCTCCACAAACCCTAACTATGGGGCAGCAGGGTATTCGATCCGACCTGATTAGTTCATTCGTTCTGCTCGGCAGCAGCTTAGGCACATGAGTCAATAGGCAGGCATCGAAGCTTAGCGATAGACTACACGGCTGACTTGGGCAGCCAGCAAGCTGGTAGGAAGCGAACGTAGCATAGTGTATTTGCTGCACTACTTGTGCAGCCTAATATACAGTAGCTTACGGTGCGAGCGACACATAGCGTGCTTTGTACGGAGGACTGCAACTCTGCCTAACGGGACTAGGATATGACCAGGTATCGACTATGTAGGCAAGCAACCATTTTTCGCTCAGGAACGTGGAGCTTTGTGTACCTAGGGAAGAAGCAATCTGTCAAACCAGCTTGAATCTAACCAGCACCCTAGCTCCTCCTTTTCACTATCATTGATTTTTAAGCACCTGATGCAATTTAAGCCAGTCAACACATTTATGATAGTTACTGTCCATTTATTGGACAATAATTACTGTTTATATATGGCCAAAAGGAACAGCTTTTGGGTATGATACTGAATAAGGGCTTGAAAATACATGAAATTGCATGCCACAATGGGTGAAAATAAACAACTTCGGTGACACTTACACAACTCAATACACAAAGGGGCTGTAGTAAGGAGGTGATTGCAAAATGTTCCTAAACAGAAGTGAATTATAACCTTGAAGAGGGGATTGCAGCCTTGTTTGGGATTGGTTCAGCAATTGCGTTCCCGCTTGGTTTTGGATCTTGGTCATCGAGTCGGTCGAGATACTTCTTCGCCCCACCACTCTCGACTTGGAATCATCAGATACTGTGTAAGGTGACGCCACGTGGTTCTACATTAATGTTGCCTTCTACGAGCGGCACGAATCTCGACGTGCAGGCCGCCATGGCGAACGTGGTAGTTTGGGCATGTAGGATTCCAGGCTTCGTTCTGAAGGCAGGGAAGAATCCATGGTGATGAATCAGGCAGCCTGTTTCAGAGTGACTAATCCTTCCAGTATTCTCTTTTGACGTCGTCCTCTGGTTTGCCGCTTGGAGTGAGGAGTGCTAAACGAGCTTCGAGTAGACTTCTGCGCAATGCGCTACTGATTTTTTTATCTGGTGGCGCTGTCTATCCCCGCGTGAATCATGGATATCACGCTTCGATTTAGAGTTCCCGCTACTCTGCTCAATCGGGACGTTACTAATGCGAGTGGCAGCAGCGGCAGCAGCAGCAACAGTGACACTACCAGTGGCGACCGCAGCATTATCAGCAACGACACTAACAGCACTAGGACCAACATTATCCCTGAATCGCCCGACGAACGAACCGCAACGACAATCAAACGTGCAGCAGCTTCCCACGTGGACTATCTCATCACCGTTGATCCGCACGAGCCTCTCCAATCAGCGTTTGACAAGCTCTTCCTGTCGCACCTGCCGCACTGCTGTCTCCCGAGTCAGCAGCAGGATGACGCGGAGAAACGAGGAGTTCAGGAGAAGGGGAGCGGCGAGAGCGAAGAGAAGCAGGCTGTTCGGTTCATGGCTATCGGACAAGTGGTGTACTTATCGCCTGCATTATCCGCCGTCAAGGCGAGGCTTAAATCGGGTACAGTGATCAAAGTGCTGGCAGTGAAATCGAAAGCGGCGAAGCGCGAGAAACATGAGCAGACCAGCGCTGGCAACAGCAGCGGCATCAGCTGCGCGAATAACGGTGTGGTTTGCGAGAAATCAACAGCGGACGGGGAGGAGAGGAGTCCTGTTGTCGCCGATCCCCCGCATCCCCCGCTTGCAGCTCCTCAAGGGAACAGCACAACCACTCCGCCTGGAAGTTCCCACACCAAGATTTCCCCCTCCCAAGCTGCTGACTCTGGCTCTGACTCTGCCCTCAACTCTGCGCCAGTCTCCGCCTCTGCGCCTGTCTCCACCGCACTTGTCTCCGCCTATGCGCTTGCCGCCGCGTATGCATTTGTCTCCGCGTCCGCGCTTGTCTCCGCCTCCGAAGCTGTCGCACCGTCTCCTCTCCCTGCACCTGCCACCGTTACCACCAGCACTGGCGCCCCTACCACTGGCACCAGCACCTCGTCACAAGCAGCCTTACGTCCCTGCAACAACCGTAGCAGTAGCAGTACCAGCAGCAGCAGCAGCTCCAGTGACAAGAGCAGCAGCTGTGGCGGCAGCAGCAGTGGCAAAGCGAGGGGCCCTCCAGCAAAGCAGCCGCCGCTCCCCCTCCATCACGTGGAGAACATGCCGCTATCGCGCGCGCACATGGTGCACTACGTGGACGTGCACCTGCCGTGGTCGCACTCCCTCTGCGCCTGCTGCCTCCCCCGCATTCTCCGCCCATCTCCGCTCGTCGCCTTTCACGTCTCCTCGCTCGCATCGCTGCGCAACCACCTAAAGTAGCCTTTGCCGCCCTCCTTTCCGCCCTTCCGCTTCGGCCATAAGCCCCCGCGCGCCACCACCGCCTACTCCGCCACCGTCCCGCTCTCCGCCCCTCCGCTCCGCCCTCCAGGTCATGCTACTGCTGGCGCTGCTGCTGCCAGTGCAGCTGCGGAAGAGCGCGCCGCAGCGCCGTCGGTGGCGCAGCAGTATCGGTGGAAGGTGGACTCAGCGCCTGTGGTTGCAGCAGAGGGGATGATGCTCGAATGGCTGGCAGAGCCACGTGTCGGCGTGCTACTGGACCTCCAGGCGGTACGGCGCCAGCTGGCAAGACTCTTCAAGATGGATGAGCTCGCTGCTGCACGCGCTACAGCCGGCACTAAGCGTTCCTCCCGCCGTGCTACAGCCGGTCGTCAAGCGCTGTGGTGGTGCTGCTGGCAGTGCTCCTCCTGCTTCGCCTCCTACCGCCGTGCCGTGTCCGTTGCTGCTTTCATCGTGCTTGTTGCCAAGTTCCCCCGCTTCGTCACTCTCTGGCGGGCGAACGTGCGCTCTCCCAACTCTACCTTGGTGAGTTTAGCGTTTCAGTTTGATGCTGGGCGGCAGGCTGGGGGCGACTGCTTGGCGTCGCTGCTGCTGCAGGTGCTGGGAGTGAAGGGCAAGCAGCAGCTGGAGACCGGCTTTGCTGCCCACCTGCTGCCGCTGCTGCCGGGGGGGAGGCACGCGCACGGGGAAACGGGAGAGGAAGGGAAAAGTCGGGGGAGGGGGGTGGGAGAGGAGGAGGAGTGGAGGGAGGGGTTGGGAGGGGTGGAGTGGGAGGAGTATGTGCAGCGCGTGGGGGAGATTGTCGCTCAGGGAGGGCTGGCAGGCGAGCAGTACCGCTGCTGCTGCTCGCAGTGTGGTGAAGGCGAGGGAACGAGTGAGAAGGATATTCGGGGCAAGAAGAAGAAAGGATGTCAAAACAGCAGCAGCAACCGCAGCAGCGACACTGGCCCTGGCAGTGGCAGCGGCATGGTGATATCAGGTGTGGACCCGACCGAGTTCGCTCTCAAGTGCGCATTCAACTTCGCTGAACCGTGGTTTGCGAGTTGTGGTGCGAGCATGTTTAACGAGTCTGCTAATAACAGGTACAAGGAGAGGGTGGAGGATGCTGCAGTGGAGGAGGCATTGAACCAGCTGGCTGTGGGAGAGGGGAGTGAGGAGAGGAGTGGCGTGAGTCGTGGAGAGGGGAGCGGAATGAGGAGCTGTGCAAGAGGGGGTGGGAGTGGAAAAGAGAATGTGGAGCGGAAGCAAGGAAAGCTTGCTGGTAAGGGAGCCAAGGATGAAGGGAAAGCAGTGGGAGAAAAGGCAGCAGCAACGGCAGCAGCAGCAGCAGCGGCAGCAGCAGCAGCAGCGGCAGCAGCAGCAGCAGCAGCAGCGGCAAGCAGTGCCAGGCTAGTTCCCGTGAACAGTAACGTGGTGGTTGGGGTGTACACGTACCGAGTCACCTCCCTGCTGCGGTGGGTGCGGCTTTACGGCCCCAGGGTCAACCCTCCCAAGTACTGTGGCTGTTTCACCGTGGAAACGCCAAACACCGCTCTTCCACACCCCATCCACGACCTTCCGAACCTGCTTCTCAGGTTCGGCACCGTGCCGAAGCTGGTGGCTGGCCCAGGTTCGGAAGGTGAAGCAGCGAGCGGGTGGGAGGAGTTCCCAGAGGGAGACAGGGTGGAGCTGGAAGCATATGAGGAGGATCCCTGGGGGGATATGGGGCTCAACACCTTTAACACGGGAGATTTCCGGGATGGTACACCTGACGTGGAAGAGCACACGAAGGAGGCCAACGAGAGGTACATTATGATGCCCCCGCCTGACGTCACCCCTCTCTGGAAAAGCCCCAGCCCTCCCTACTACGAAACGCTTGCTGCCCGCGTGGAGGAGTTTCTGAGAAGGTTCGCCCCGAGGAGGCTGTCAGTGGAGGGGAGCAATGGCCGTCTAGCGAGCGCCATTGCCACATGGGTGGGGCGCTTAGGCCTGGGGAAGCGCAGCTGGGCAGCACTGGCCTTGGGGCCGCTCTCAGATGCAAAGCTGCAGATGCTGCTGCGGTCACAACAGGAGATGGACGAGTTTCAGGAGATGCTGGCTGGGGACCTCTCTCCCGTGCCCGCCTGCACGCGCTGCATGTGCTGCGCTGCTCTGTACTACGAGTCTGTCATCATGGTGTCCCTCGCTGCGACCTTCGCCTTCCGTCCTTCTGTCATGCTGCTGCGCTGCGTCCTCTCGCTCTTCCCGCCCTCCTCGCCGCAGCTCAAGGGCCTTCTGGCTGCTGTGGGCGTGGCGCCCATCCCTGCAGCTGTCCCGGACTCGCTGGTGGCGGCGCTGCTGGAAGGCGCGATGGAGCAGAAGCGCGTGCGCTTCCTGTTCCATGCCATCAAGCTCCTCTACCAAAATAATGCCTATGCAAAGCTCTTGGAGCCTTTCGAGGAGGGGTCTGGGGTGGACACGGGTGAGCAGCAGGGCAGGCGGGGGAAGCAGGGGGAGGGGAATGAGGAGTGGTGCGTCTGGGAGGAGGTGGACAGCTGGCGGATTGCAGCGGAGCGGGCTTGGCCGGTGCTGGAGCTCCGTAATGTGAAGATTCTTGAGCTGGATATTGGCGGGGCGGCTGAACGGCAGATGGAGGTTTGTGAGGGCATGCGGTGTGTGATGGAGGAAGAGGAGGTGAAGAGGAAACAAGCTCAGGCCGGCGGTGCTGCTGGGGAGGGCGGGAGTGGGAGCAGCAGCTCTGGAAGCTGCAAGGGCATGGGGAAGGGGAAGAGTCTGGCGGGAGTGGAGGGGAGAAGTGGGAGTGGGAAAGGGAAGGGGGGAAAGGCAGTGGCGTGGTACCTGGAGCCGTGGCCGGGGGGGGTGAATCCTCTGGCGTGTTTGAGGGAGATGCTGCTGGGGGAGACCAGCTACTGCCCCCAGGCCCACGTGGATGCCGTTGCAGCCGCTGATGCTGCTGCTGCCCATGCTGCTGCCACTGGTGAGGAGACCAGAGTAAGGAGCAAGGCAGGGCCACGAGGCTGTGCGTCCCCGCGGTGTGGCAAGGAGGAAGGGGCGGGGGTGCAGCTGAAGCTATGCTCGCGGTGTGGCAAGGTTGCCTACTGCAACAGGGAGTGCCAGAAGGCCCACTGGCCCTCGCACAAGCTCACGTGCCAGCCCAAGGCCAAGGGGGGAGGTGAGGCATAGATAGAACGCATAGCTTGTGGAGAATGCCATGTTTGGCTGGTGGTTGCTAACCTTGGTTCTCCCCAACTGATGGCAACCTGGGTATTCTCCCAAATGAAAAACGGAGATGTGATATATTTTTTCTTTCTGGAACCACCATCGTACGAGGGCACTTAGGGTACATTCTTGGCTCGTGTCAGACATCAGGTCATCAGTCCCTAGCCTCCAATCTCTCTATTCCGAACTTTGAATTGCCTCACAAACGAGCCACTTCGGGTCTTCTGAACCGAACCTCCACCTCGTGATGACCTGATGTCTGACACGAGCTAAAAATTTACCCTCACACTGTTTTTCCTTTTCTGCAAATGTTATACAAGACTCGACGATATCGTCGGAAGGGTTGCGTAAGTACATAGTATTTATCATTCTGTGTTTTTTTGCACTTAATTTAAGCCTTAATACCCAAGTTTTTCCCATTTATAAAAAACTACAGTATTTTTAGTAATATTACGTCATATTTTTATTCTGATGTGTTTTTGTCTTGTGATGTTAGATATTGTGCTACCATTATTGAATATCAATTATAATTGCTGATTTTAGCAGTGATGTCTATAGGCAACTTATCACTATAATATATTGTCAGGTTGTTGCTCTAGCGGGTGTACCATGATGTGTTGCTTTCAGATTGACGCACTTCGTTGGATGTGTCACGTCATCACATGTGTGTCTCACGTGACACTAGTTTCCAAAATGAATTTGTATGTGTCGTTTTGTTTTTTTTACCTAGTACCCCGGTTTCGTCTAGTTCGCATTTTGCCCGATGTTCGTTTGCCCCGTAATTGTATTACGCTCATGCCTCGATTTCCCGTCGCCTGTTTTCATCGAGCAGTTGCAAAACAGACCCAGGAACAGAACCACTTCAAGAAACAACACTTTGCCAACCCGAGTTTTACTGTACGTATGCTCTCCCATTTTTTTGCAACTTCCCCAATCCCTTCGTCTCCCACCCCAACTCAACAAACCCTTCCCCCTCCTCCCACCTCGCCTCTTGTCTCTCGTCACCTCTCCCACCCACCTCGCCATCGGCTCTCCCTCTCACCCAGCCGTTCGCCTCTTCCTGCCATCCCGCCGTCGGCTCTCCCTCTCTACCCCGCCATCGCCTCTCCCTTCTATCCCGCCGTCGCCTCTTCCTCGCCTCCCTCCCATCCCGTCGTCGCCTCTCCCTCTCGTTCGTCGTCGCCTCTCCCTCTCGTTCGCCGTCGCCTCTCCCTCTTTCCCGCCACCGCCTCTCCTTCACATCCCGCCGACGCCTCCCCCTCGCATCCCGCCGTCGCCTCTCCCTCACATCCCACCGTCGCCTCCCCTTCACATCCCGCCGTCGCCTCCCCCTTACATCCCGCCGTCGCCTCCCCTCCATATCCCGCCTCGCGTCCCCCCTCGCATCCCGCCGTCGCCTCCCCCTTCACATCCCGCCGTCGCCTCCCTCTCACGTCCCGCCGTCGCCTCTCTTCTCACCGCCGTCGCCTCCCCCTCACATCCCGCCGTCGCCTCTCCTCTCACCGCCGTCGCCTCCCCCTCTCATCTCGCCGTCGCCGCTGACGACAGCTGCACGAGCGCGAGCTGGCGGGCAAGCGCGAGATGATTTCTTAGGCGCCGTGATTCTGAGGTGCGCTTACCTATCCCGGTCTTTTTCTCCTCCTTTCCCCCTCTGAAATCTGCTTATTTTCTTACATTTTTTGTAGCTTCCGTTTGTCGATTGGTCTCCTTGCGTTGCACTGATTTGTAAAGAGGGGGAGAGAGGGGGGGCAAGGGAGCACCAAGAGCGTGTGGGAGAGAGAGGCGGGAGAGAGAGCGCCGTGCGCGCTTGCGCCGGTGGCGCGGGCGGCATGGTCGCTTGCGCCTAAGCCGCTTGTGCTTGAGGAGCTGGCACCGTGGGCGCTTGCGCTTAGAGCGTGTGTGTGTGTGAGTGGCGGCAAGAGTGAGTGCGAGAGTGTGCGAGAGGGTGGGTGCGGGTGTGAATCTTGGTGCGAGTGCGGATGTGAGTTCGAGAGTGAGATGCGCGCATGCACTTGAAGGTGAGCGCGGTTGTGAACGCAAGGGCGAGTGCGAACGTGATTGAGAGAGCATGTGCAATCGTGAATGCTCGAGTGGGTGTGAAAGCAAGTGTGAGAGTGAGTGTGAGGACGACGGCGAGTTGGAAAGTGAGTATGTTTGTGGATGCGAGGTTGAGTGCAAGGGTGCGGGTGAGTGCAAAAGGGGGTAAGAAAGTGCGTTCGAGTTTGTGTGCTATGTTGAGTACTACCACGATGAGTGCACGTGTTTGTGTGTGTCTTTTGTGAATGTCGAAGAAGAGTTGTAGGTGAAGAGCGAGTGCGAGAGCGAGTGCAGGGGTGAGAACAAGGTGCGTGCGATGTCATTTGCGAGAGCAAGTGGGAGAGTGAGCGTGAATGTGAGTGCGAGGGCGAATGCGAACGTGAGTGCGGGTGTGATGGCGAGGGCGAATGCAAGCGTGAGTGCGTTTGTGAGTGCAAGGGCAAGTGCAAGCATGCGTGTGGGTGTGAGTGCGAGGGAAACTGTGAGTGTGAGTTCGGGTGTGAGTGAGTGCGCCTTCAGTTTGAGGGTACACGCGACTGTGTGTGTGGGGGTGTTCGAGTGAGCGCGAGCCCGAGGGTGAGTGCGAGGGTTTGTGTGTGTTTTCAGTGAGTGTGTCTAAGAGCTGTTGAACGTATTTGAGTGTCGGTGAGTTGCGGCAAGAGTGAGTGCGAGCGTAAACTTGTTTCTTGTGCGTCAAGGAAACTGCACTCTCTGATTTTGATTTCTTGTGCAACTCATGCAAGTTGTATTCTCTGTTTTCGTTTTTGCTTGTGCAGGGAGTGAGTTGCATTTGCTGTTTCTTCTTTCGTGCGCAGGAAGTTCAAGCTGCAGCCCTTGTTTCTTGTGGAGAAAAGGGATGGGGAGAAGGGAGATAAGGGGAATGAGGGAGGGAGGGAGGGAGGGAGGGAAGGAGGGAGGGAGGGGGGGGGATGGGGGACATGCTAGTGATGATTTATACAAGGCTGAACTCCATTCATTATGCTTGCATGCTTATTACCGTAGCTGTATGTTTTTGCGCTGTGTGTCTTTGTGTATGTGTGAGCCTGTATGTGTGAGTGCGTACATGTGCATATGTGTTGTGTGTGTTTCAGGGTGTGGTGCTAAGTGCCTCGTGAATGCAACTCGGATTGTGATCGTCGGTGGGGCAGCTTTGCTAGCCTCTTCCGTACCATATCAATCTTAGTTGCAGCATTGATGCATTTAGTATTCGCCTGGAAACATTTTCAATCGTTATCTGTTTTTGTACCAGTTTGTGTGTTATCGCATGTGCTTGTTTTGGGAGTGTGTTGGTGAGTGCCTCGTGTATGCAACTGGGATTGTGATCGTCGGTGGGGCAGCTTTGCTCGCCTCTTCCGTACCATATCAACCTCAATTGCTGCATTGATGCATTTTGTATTCCCCTCAAAACATGTACGACGGTTCTTGTACATGGTTGCTTTTGTGGCCATTTGTGTATGTGTGTCTTTCGGTGGTTCCGTCCTTCATGTTCGTGTGTCATTTGGTATCGTCATTAGTGCTAGAACGATTGTCCAATTGTTCCATTCGCCGTACTTATCGACGATTTTGGAATGATCGAAACATTTGTTTTCATTTTCGGGAAGTTGGTGAACAGTGAGTTCTTTCAAGATTGATGGGAGAAATTCACTGTTCACGTCAGCCAACCGAAAAGTGAAAACGAATGTATAAGGTTGCTACGCAACCCAAAAAGTATTGTGAACAGTACATTGCTGTATTGTTTGACTGAGGAAATTTCTGATGTAGAAGCCCAGTATTGAGGATAAAAAGTATAGCCGTTGTTCCCAAAGCTCGGAAGGATTTGAGTTTGCATCGAAGCGCGGAATTGTCAGACTTGGCACGACTCGGCGAAGAGATTGAGGGATACACGCGCAAAGCATGTGCTGCTTGCAAATTGGTAGCAGAAAGGTTGGTGGGAGGGAAGACGTGTTGTAACTTGTACCTAGCTGCAACAAATCGTAGCCATGAAAAAATATAGCTGCTGCAACCATGTCCCACGCGTGAGGGCAGCTATGCGTTCAACCTACAGCACCCTCGCGACGACCAGAGAAGGCCTTTGATGGTTTTGACCGGCTGCACTTGTTCTCGACATCATGCCCCTCGATATCCGTGAATACCTCGCACCGTTTCTGCACTGCGTTTTAATCTTCTCCGCGTTCCGCCTCGCCAGCACTAGTACCTTGCAGTCCGTAGTCCAACCTCTGAACTGGCAAGCTCCTGTCGGCGTCAATCGCAGCGCGTATGGCTCCACTAATCTCAGCACTGCAATTCCCGTTACCAGTCCCGACAAGCTCGACTTCAACGGAGCGTTTGAGGAAGATGATTTCGGGGAAGTTAAGGAGGCAGATCGGCATCCCCGCGAGCTGATGGCGATCTCGCTAGGGCACAGCCGCAACGCGACTGCGGACGCCAAGAAGCTGCAGATCGCAGACGCGCTTCGCTACCCCGTCTGTCCACGCGTACGAGGTACTGCTACCGGCCGAAACGCGCAGAGAGGAAAACGAACAACTGACCGAAATTCTGTTATATTTTAACGAGCGACGGAGAGGAACGTACGCCGTAGTAGCGTAGCTGCGTCTCGTGTGATGTCGCCAACCGTTACCCCGCTTCTTCTGCCTGCTGCCCGCTGCCTGCGGCCTGCGGCCTGTTGCCTGTTGCCTGCTGCCTTTGCCATGTCACGCTCTTTCTTCTGTTCCCCACTGCCCCCTGGCAGGTCGCGTGCGGGTGAACGTGGGAATGGACACGGTCGGGACGGTGTGGAAGGGGTGGGGCACGTCTCTTGCATGGTAAGCGAAGGAAATGAAAGGACAGGGATGCGTATGTACGTCTGCCGCAGTAACCGGCGTGTCACTGCCGTGAACCCCCTTTTTATCTCTCACAGCCATTGTAAATGGTCCATCCCCCCCCGTTCAGTTCCGTTCCCGTGTCCCCAGTCGCTCGTTCTTCGTCTCTTTCTGTCACCCACAACCCCGCTCCCCCATTGCCCCCCTCCCCCTCCCCCTCCCCCGCATCCTCCCCCACGGCTCCCGATCCCCGCGGAACGATGGAAGGTCCGGGCGGTACATAGGCGGACTGCCGTGGCGGCGGCGCGAGTACCTGCTCGACCTGCTCTTCCACGCGCGCAAGGGGCTGGGGCTCACCATTGCGCGCTACAGCATCCCCGGGGGCTACGACCCCCGCTACAGCCCGCGCCTGGCGCAGCGGGACGTGTTCCGCGGGTACAGCAGCGCGCGCGGGCGCTACAACTGGACGGGCGACTGGCGGCAGGTGGAAGCGCTGCGCGGCGCGAAGCAGCGCGGCGTGGAGGTATTCGATGCGGTGTGCGACTCGCCACCCTGGTGGATGACCAAGTCTAACGACACGGCGGGGAACGCGGACGGGCAGCCGAATATTAATCCTGATTACTACGACAGCTACGCGGAGTACGTCGCGCGCGTGGTTTGGCACCTGCAGAACGATCTGGATATTAAGTTTCAGAGCGTGTCGCCTTTTAACGAGCCGCTGGAGCCGTGGTGGGTGAAAGGCGGCGTGCGCGAGGGGTGCGCGATGAGCGAGAGCGACATCGCACAGGTGCTGGGGAAGCTTCGCCCGCGACTGGAGCAGTATGGGCTGGGCGACGTTTTCGTCGCAGGGGTCGACAGCTGGCCGTCGCAGACCTTTCGTGCAATATCGCGCGTGTTCGCGCAGAACAGCGACAAGTGGGACCAGCTAAACGTCCACGGTTACCGGTCACCGGCTAGGATGACGCAGGGGAGAGACGAGCGGCAGTTCCGCGCTATACGAGACGCGGCGAGACGGCTGGGCAAGCCGCTGTGGCAGACGGAGTGGGGCCCGGTAAACGTGCGAGGATCTGAAATGCAAATCGCGTGTTTTATGGCGCGAACGATCATCCAGCACGTAAATCTGATGGGCGTCGAGGCGTGGTATCACTGGCTCGCGCTGCAGCAGCCAAATCCCTCCGGTTGGGGCCTCGTCTGGCAGGACTTTTCGTACAGCGAAACGTTTCGCCCGGTGGTTACCAAACAGTTTTGGACGATGTTACACTTCACGCGATGGATGCCTCCAGGCAGCCTGCCGCTTCTGGTTCGAGAGGAGTGCCAGCATACAGTACTTGCGGTGTACTCCCCCGTTATGCACACACTGGCCGTCACTGTAGTGAACCAGCAAAAACGAGCGCGAAATCTGGCTGTACGCATTTCTGGTTACCACCTGTACGTACCACAGCAGCGGACCAGGATGCTCATTTTTCGCACGTCAAGCAGGGAGAGTTACAGGATGCATTACAGGGCCTCGTGGCCGGGCAGGAGGGTGGCTGGGGTGTTCAACGTAACAGCTATACGCGATTCAGTGACAACATTCGTATGGGATAACGTAGCACCGGGGGATGACTACACTCCAGGCGTTATACCCTCATGGAAGATATACTGATGTGGAGTGCTTAGAGAAGCTGGCTGATTGGACTCAAGTGACCCTATCACCTGGGCTGACGTGGACAACCCGGAGCCACTGAAGCCGCGTGCGTTGTCTGCTACCTGGCTGTAGCAGCACGTGCTGCTGTTCATGGGCAGCTGCTGTAGCAGCGCTACGGGCAGGTACACAGCCAAGCGAGGGCCTATGTGCATTGCCTCCTTCCTGCGACTCCATACGCAGTGCCCTCCTCCTCCTCCTCCTCCTCCTCCTCCTCCTCCTCCTCCTCCTCCTCCTCCTCCTCCTCCTCCTCCTCCTCCTCCTCCTCCTCCTCCTCCTCCTCCTCCTCTGCAGCAATTCGTTTGTCGCTGCCTGCGAGACGCACCAGCGTCTGCTGCAAGCCCAACCCACACAGCCGACAGGGAATCTCTTCCTGTGGAAAAATGTGAGAGGGGGGCGGAAAGGACAGCAGCCAGGCATGCAGTACCGTTTGTGCGCTTTCCTGCCTGCGGGGTGGGGGGCTCAATGCTCAATGGGGCCGCTCCCTCAATGCTCTTGCTGCTGCAGGCATGGTGTCGGGTTCAGAGGCAGCTTGAGCAGTGAACAACTAGCAGCATCGGAGCTGGAGCGGCATGACAGGACTTGGCTTGGCACGGCATGCCTGAAGGCTGCATGCGGTGTCTGGGTGACTTTGGTTGCCGTATGAGGCGACGAACTGCACCGAGAGACCCCAGAGATGCCGGGCCACGCGACCTGCATATACTGTTCATACATACACTTACGGGATGAATGGTGGAATTTATTTCAGATTGATTTAGAGAGTGTGAATAAGAGGGTGAACGAGGGGGTTACCGTCAGCTGTGCCTGTACGCAGTTGGGGCTGAGTCGTCTGAATACCGTAACAGCCACCTTGGGGTGCCGTATTCGGAGTCTGCTCTACTGGGAGAGAATGGGTGGGATTACATGCAGAGCGCCTCGCGAGTCGCCACCCATATGCGGTGCGGGTTCAAACAATTCTGCTGTAGTAGTCAGAATGACTTCACATGTTACGGTACCACCACCGGTTGTGGTGGGTACCGGTAATCTTGCTGTTGCTTCCGAGGCTCCTCTCCTCTGTGACACCCCTGGTTGCAATCAAGGGCCATGCTCGCACCTCCATGTATGTTGGCAGTATCTTTCATGTGTTATGGTGTGTACAGTACAATGATCTGTGTATGGAGTTGATGGGTTGGTCCCTTGTGGAGAGTATTCCTGCAAGCGCTAGGTGTTGATTGACACAGAGAAGGAATTGATAGGGCAGAGGTGGAAAGAGGGCCACCACGTTGGGGTTGATAACGAGCAACAAGTACACTACAGTGCCAATGCTATTGTGTATTTTACAAGGGTGTGAACTTCTAAAGTTTTCCTTTACCGTAAATCCTTTCCATACAGTAGCTCAGCTCACACACCTGTGCTGCAGAACGGTGGTCTGGTCACGATATGCTAGTATGGTAATCCTCGAGGCGCGAAACAAATGTACGGTACCGTATCGCTGGAGTGGACAAGTGCAGAAAACACATGTACACCAGGGTGTGCTATTTTATGGTTCATTATTGGTACAGAGCTTACAAAACAAGCATAGCAATCTCACCCTTGTCATGTCATACAACAAAGATTGCACAATCCCCAAATGGCTGCTAACTGTATGCCCTTCCACTGCACCCACCACACTCCCTCTTGCCAGTCGTTTCCGCATGGGGCACTTGGGCTGAATGGCTGAAAGTCGTCCCTTCCCAATCTCTTTCCCACGGAGACAAGATGCACCCTTGCAGCGAGTGCGCTGCAGTGTCTGCAGGTGCATGGCAGATCCCTCACTGAGAAAGTCAGGGAGAGTCGGAGAGAGGATCACCAACTTTGGAGGGTCCCATGTTCCCGTTTCCTCTCTCCTACTCATACTTGCCCATCCAGACAACCCCTGCATACCCTTCTTTGCCACTCCAACCCACTCCGATGCAGCCCTTATCCCCTGTGCGGTGTTCTTTCCTTCAGGCATCTCAATGCCCATAACACAGTGCAGTACGCACATGCATGCCCCCTGCTTCTCATCCTCTCACATTGTAGGTCTTCTCATCTCCCCCACATTACTCTCGCTCTTCCCGCTGCCTTTCCTGACCAACCTACCTCCTCTCCCCTCCCCAGCAGTGCACCCCACCACACCCACCTCTCTCACTGACGGCCCACCCGCCTCTTTCCCCTCCTCCTCCTTCCCCTGCTTTCCCAGCTTCCCATCCTTGCCACTAGCACTCCTCACTATCCCCCTTGCTCCACCCCTCACCCCCGCACCAACCGACACACTCCGAGCGAGTGCCCCCTCTCCTGAGGCAACCAGCCCTATCCTCCTCCCCCCAACCCCCCCTCCTCCTCCCCTGCTGCTGCTGGTGTTGATGCTGTTGCTGCCTCCCTCCCCTGCGCCCTCTCCCCTCCCCGCCAGCACAGTGCCGGATGAACCCCCACCCACTCCCAACCGCCCTCCCACCACCACACTCCGGCTGCTTCCCAGTAATCCCAATCCTACACCTGGAACCAACCTCCCTCCAATCCCTCCCGTGCCTCCTCCTCCTCCTCCTCCTCCTCCTCCTCCTCCTCCTCCTCCCCCTCCCCCTCCTGCACTCCCTGGTCTCAACCCACCCCGGCTCCCAAACCCCATGCAACTGCCACTCCCACCAGCCCTCCCCACTCCTCCGCCCACCCATCCCCCACCACTGCCACTCCCCCCACCCCTCCCTCCCACCCCATCCCCCGCCTCTCTCTCCTCCCTGCCCCCTCCACCGCCTCCCCCGATCGGCTGATCAAGCGTAAACCCAGCCATATCATGCAGGTCTAGCACAGGCAGGAGAGACGCGAGCACGTGCGACATGAGGGGGCGCAGCTTGGGCTTGGCGCTGAGGCACTGCCGCGCCACTGCGGCTGTGAGCTGCGCGCCACGCACGCTGTACATCCCCGCTAGAGCGGGATCCATTATGCGGTATAGCTTGCAGGGAGAGGAGAGGAACGGCGCCGCCCAGTCCACTAGGGATTGCTCGGGCTTGGGCCTGGAGTGGGGTGGTGGGGAGGAGCAGGGAAGGAAGGGGGAGGGGAAAGCGCAGGTGAGCGTGCAGCAGGGGGATGAGGGACGTGGAGCTTGCAGGGAGAGGAGAGGAACGGCGCCGGCCAGTCCACGAGGGATTGCTCGGGCTTGGGCCTGGGCGTGTGGAGGGGTGGGGCACGAGTGTGTGGGGGGGGAAAGGAAAAACAAGACGGGACTCAGTAGTGAGCGTGCAGCAGGGGGATGGCAGTCCGTGGGGAGCTGGAGCAGCAGATTTGAGGTGCCTCAGAACATGCCATCAGTCAATGAGTCATTCCGTCAGTCAAGCAGGGAAGATTGCCAAGCAGGCAGCAACCCCCTGTCCGTCCCTCTCACCGGGTCTTATCCAGTGCAGGGCGGCCTGTGAGCAGCTCCAGCAGCACGACTCCGAAGCCCCACACGTCACTGCGGATGGATAGGTGGCCTGTCAGCACGTACTCCGGTGCTGCATATCCTACTGTGCCCACCACCTGATAAGGACGTTGGGGGAGGGAGAGAACACCGGACGAGAAGGAATGAGCAAGGGGAAAGCGTGAAAAGAGAAGGTGGGCAGCGGATTGGGAGAGGACGCTGTGTGTATGGTGAAGGAAAGAAGCAGGGTAAGCAGGGAAGGCAAAGCAGACAATAGCAGATCAACAGAGCACAGTAAGAGGAGCAGAAGCGAATGCCCACCATAACTATAGCAGCAGCAGCAGCAGCACGACAGCACGCCAGCACCGACCCAGAGATGCAGAGGCGCCAGAGGCGCATGAGTGAGAGCTCACCCGAGTGGTAACGTGTGAGAGCTCCCCTTGCGGCCCCAGGCGCGCAAGGCCAAAGTCGGAGAGCTGCGCATCGCCATGGCGGTCCAGCAGGATGTTGGACGTCTTGAAATCACGGTAGATGATCTGCCATGCAGGGGGGGGGGAGGGAGGGGGGGAAAGGGGGGACGGGGCAGGGGAAAGGGTTATCCTCGGCGCCTCACAAGCCAGCAGGATGTTGGACGTCTTGAAATCACAGTAGATGATCTGCCAAGCAAAGGGGTGGAAGGTGGGAGGGAGAGAGGACACGCGAGGGGATTGGGGAGGGGGATGCAGGGGGGGGGGGGCGATTGGGACACTGTAACGAAAGAACTCTCAGGTAGCGGCTGCAACAGGTACGCAGCAGTGCACCCCTCCATCTCCCCGCGCCCCTGCCCGCCCCTCGCCTCACCGGTTTGTCAATCTCCTCGTGCAGGAACTTGAGCCCCTTGGCCGCAGCAATGGCAATGCGGATGCGGTGCAGCCACTGCAGCGGCCGCTGCTCCTCCCCTCCCCCCGCCAACCCCCCCCTGCTGCTGCTGCTGCTGCCGCCGCTGCTGCTGGGCCGCCTCCCGCTGCCACTGCTGCTGCCAGGACGCTTCATCCCCTTCACGTCCGCGCCTCCTCCGCCCCCTCCCCCACCAGACGATGCTCTGGGTACGCCCCCCGGGAACCCTCCGCCAGCCGCAGCGCCCAGGGGGAGCGAGAGCCCCGCGGGGAGCGTGGGCGGGGGCGCGGAGGACGGGGGGAGGAAGAGCGCGGGGAAGAGGCGGCGCTCCAGGGAGCCTCCGGGGAGGAAGGGGTAGACGAGCAGGCGCTGTTCCCCCTCCGCGCACACCCCCAGCAGGGGGACGAGGCACGGGTTATGCAGGCGCGCTAACACCTGCACTTCCGCCTGCCACTCCCTGTCGCCCTGCTGCCCCGCCGTGTTGAGAACCTTCACGGCAACTTCCACCTTGCGCCCGCTCCGCCCGTCCCACATGGTCCCCTTAAAAACGCTCCCGAACCCGCCCGAGCCTAGCAGCCCTTCGAGCGCGAACTGACACGTGGCGCCGTGCAACTGGGCGAGGGAGAAGGAGTTGAGCCGCCCGGAGCCCGCCAGCTGGCGGTCCAGGACTGGCAGGTTGCGGTGCGAGCTGGCGGGAACGAGCACGTGGTTCAATGAGAGGTCCGCTGTGGGGCTTGGGTCGCTCGCGGTTCCCGCCGCCGCCGCCGCCGCCACCGCCGCTGGCGCCGTCGTTCCCGCCGCTGGCGCTGCTGCCGCTGCGGTTTGGCGGCGGTTTCCGTCCGCCGTGTTGCCGCCCATGCCACCGCCGCCGCCGCCGCTGTTGGGTCGAGGGGAAGATGCAGACCCAGGCGCACCAGCACCACCGATCTGCACGCCTGGAAATCGCCCCGACCCCATCCGTGCCAGTCCGCCACTGCGGAACGAACGCGAAGGGGAGGGCGAGCGCAGGGGGGAAGCGGGACGGGCGGGGGACGGGGCGGGGAGCGGGACAGGGACTCCGCCAAAGGGCGGGACCGGGAGAGCGGCGAGCGCGCGCGCGGAGGCGGCGGGATTGGCGGAAACGATAGGGCCGGAGAGGGAGGTGGAGGAGGAGAGGGAGGTGGAGGAGAAGGAAGAGGCGGAGGAGGAAGTACTTTTGGACAAGGTCAGCGAGGGGGAGAGTGATGGGCTGGCGAGCGCGTCGGGGCTCCGCTGATCATGCTGCTGCGCGAGCTCCCCCGAATCCTGCTCCGCGCCATCCGCGCGCCTCTCCTTCAATGAGCCCCCGGCGCCCGCCGCCCGCGAATCGTCCGGCAAGTAACCGGCGCCACCGCCACCAGCGGCAGTAGCAGCGCCATTGCCGGCGGCAAAAACTCCGCTATGGCGATTGCTGTCCTTTAACACACACTTGTTGCCACCACCGGCGGAGCTTCCGTCGCTGCCGCCCAGCGCGCACATCGCACCGCCGTCGTCGGCTTTCGCGTCGCCGTCGCCGAAGCTGCCGCCGCCAGCGGCGCTGCTGCTGCGACAGTCCTTGCCCGAGCCGGCCGCAGCGACTCTGGACGGCGCTCGGCGCGGCGATGCGCGGAAGCAGTCGAAGCAACCCATTAGGTGTTGGTGGTGACGATGCCGATGGCGATGGTGGTGGTGGTGATGTTGGTGATCTGCGAGCTTTAGGATGGGAGAGGGAGAGGCTGACGGAATCCAAATCCGGGCAGGGAGAGAGATCGGCGTGCGGCGGAGGATGACCGATGATGCAAGTCCGAATTTACTCTGTCGGACACCAGCTGGTCTGTCTACTACACCAACTGGCTCTCGAGATGTCGCGAAGCGATTCCTTCGCCGTCGACGCGGTCCGCGGCTGCGCAAACAGGGAGCCGCGCGGCGTGGGGCGTGAAGGATCTAACGTAACAAGACCACCGGCCGGAACGGGAGAATAATAGTACTACTATCTGTGGCTCGAAGCACGGAGATCGCGAGTGGCAGTAGCGGTCACTGGTGGCTTACGACGCTCAGTGCATGATCTTCTGAGCTCTCGTGCTACTAAATCTCTTGCTGCCCTCTCAGTTTGCCCTCTCAGTGCCCTGCTCTGGTCTCAGCTGCGCGGTTAGGCCAGAGCTCGACCTTGTAGCCCCGCAACGACGGTCAGGAGGGCGTTGGATGCAGCACGAGAGGTGCTTTCGTAGCTGCTGCTGCTATTGCTGATGGAGGGGCTGTTGGGCGGCTCGAATCTAAGAACCTCTTACAGAGGTTGGGGCGGCGGCGGAGGTGGCGCAGAGAGGGGGAGGGGGGCACGAGAGAAGGGTGCTTCGCGCCGCTACTGTATCACCACCAGGGTTGGTTGGAGGTGGTACTAGAAGCGGCAGGCAGGATAGTACTAGCGACGAATTATCCCCTCTCACTGGGAGAGCAGTCGTGGGGGATGGGAGGGGGATGGGGGGCGGGGGAGCGCACGGTCTTGCGCGACTCGAATGGTCGCGCAGAACTCGCACTCCTCATGCGGTGGGTTCGGATTCCGGAGCCGTGCAACTGCTAATGGCAACATCGCGCGGACTATCAGCTGGCCCAAGCCTCGCCGGTAAACGCGCGGGCCCTTTCCATTGCGGCGATACGGCCGGTCGGGTCGCGGCAAAAGCAACGTCCGCCCTCGCGGCCTCAAGCCTTGCCCCCCTCTGGTCGGTGCAGTGGTAATTATCACACCAGCACCACCAGAATCACCAGCATCACCAGCACTACTAGCAGTACGGTATTACAACTGTACAACCGTGACTAGTAGTATCGGTACCGTGTGCTCGGCTCAGCTGAGAGTTCGCGTGGATTTGCGTTCGGCGGAGCTTTTGAAAGGTCTGACAGCACGGCGCGTGGTGTGATGCGAATGCCAAATGCTTGACAATGCCTTATCTGCGATCAACTTGAAGCGGACGTTTCGACGTGTGGAGGTGGGAGACGGCGCATCTACGAAACCTGCGGTTGCTTGCTTTGGGCTTGGATAGAGCCTGGTGGGAGAAAACGATTGATGTGTGCTTGCAGGAGTCGATGCAAGCAGCGTCGAGGGCAAGAGCTGCGTGCGCATCTGGCCTGGGCCCGACCTGACAGGAACATCCGACCGTCGACGAGCCCAGCGGGGCTAGTGCCGTTTTGGGCTTCATATGGTCGCTAGTTTGTGGCGAGGTTTCTGTTCGAGGCAAGGTCACATTATCACATAGCAGCCATGGTGCCAAGTTGCGTGCATGTGATGTACGTTTCAGGTTGGTTTGTGCTGGAGGTTCCAAATCCCAAACCAAACAACATATCTCGGCTGAAACGCGTCGAATCGAGTGAGAGCAGCGTACACTACACTGCACACAAGAAACTGGAGAGAGCTGGCAAAGCGGTTACCGTCGACGGAGCCGCGATTTCCCCAAACCGCGCATTGGACGGGCGGTTTGATGGCATCGAAGATTGCGCCTTGTCCATCATCACACCACGCCAGTCAACGCTCTACATTTGATACACGTGACTCATCTTTAAAGGTTTAGATAATTTTAAGGAAAATTCTCCTCTGTCAAGCTCAAAGTGTGTTGAAAGCAGGTTGCGAGTCCTACATCACTTCGGCTCGGTTAGTTACGACCTTAATAGAACCTTAACTACATCACTTTGGTCGTGGTTTCGTTTTTTTTTTTTTTTTTTTTTTTTTTTTTTTTTGAACGTGGAAGAGATGGTACATTTCAACAAGCATACAGACATGCATAAACCCTTCCTAGAAGTGTCTTACTACCTCAAACATCAAAAGACCATCGCCAAAACCCGAAACAAAGTATTGCTTCCTAAGACATCTACAGCCGCATGTCGACCAAGTAGGGCACGTCCACCCATGGTGCTCCCTCTCCAAACTCCTGCTCCCCACTCCCTCGCTCCACCCACTCCGCCTCGGACTGACCCAACGTGTATGCCGCCCGCAAAAGAATCACCCGAGCCTGTGCCTTCTGCAAAGCTACCCCTACCGCGGCTGTCAAGGACCCCACCAAGTATTCCGAGAAACCCGAGCTGTTGCCCCTTCCCACACCTTTGTTAAGAGCCACCTTTAATTGAACCTCCCCCTGCTGCCGTAACCACTGTCGAAAGCTTCCCCCCAAGCAACCCCAAGTCTCAAGAATCAACGGGAAGAAACGAACCCCCCTGTGCTGCCGCAGAAAAGGTTGATAATCCGTCGCCTTCCTCTTCTCTCGCTCCTTGGCAGCAAAACCTACTGTCCGTCCACACTGCCCATGCTGCTGCACCGGTAGCGAAACCGGATCCACGACGCTCACCTCGAGCGCATGATTTTCCCCGTCCATTGGTTTCCTAACCGCCACATCCACTCTCTTCCCCGGCAGAAGCGTGTCATCCTCGATCGTAACCACCCCACCCGATGCCTTGGCTATCTTAGCAACAACGAGCTTCACTGCATCATGAACACGAGACGGGGCGTACTGGTACTTGCACCGAAGAGCATGGTGCGGATCTGACGGGTCCTTGAACTCCACACCGCAAACACACTTGCCAGCAACCAGAAGCTGGTGGACGGGAAGGCCCAAACGGATTGCCGCCGAAATGCCCCACTCCACAGGGGTGAAAGTTGCGTCATCATGCGCTGGAACTGCGGACACCCATGCTGCCGAACCCGGGCCCTGAAGGGAAGTCAAACGGGCCAAGGTAGCATGATCGCGGGCCATGCGCCGCAGAGACTGAAGACTTTCAACCGCCAAGCGACGCTGCTGCGCTGGGAAAAGCTGGAGGGGGGGATTTGTAGTGCAGAGCCCCAAACTCGGCAATTCCTGCCTGACAACAGGCGGGAGCTGGTCAAGGGCCTTGGTAAACCAAGGGTCCAGTAAATCCCCAGCCGGCGGAGTGCGGAAGAACTCACTGAACATCTGCTCCTCGCCCGCTACTCCCAGCTTGACAACAGCACTCGCAGCCTGGCACCACCCACAGACGTAAGAGAGAGGGCTAAGAGTTGCTGCTGAACGAATGCCAAACCCACCCAAACGAGCCGGGAGGTGCAGCTGCAGGTGAGCCATGCGCGACCTATCAGGACTGAAGTCCCAAGTGTCTGGCGGGAAAAGTTGCTCAAAGCACTCTTCCAAAGCCCCATCCCAATCTCTGAAAGCGTCAAGAACCTCAGGACGAGGGGGAACAGTGCGAGTCAAGAAGAGCGGCCGCGCAGACACGGCAACAGCCAACAAGTGGGAGGCAATCTGGGGGTGGTTCAAAATAGGAAGCCAAGGTAGAGGTGATCGCAGCTGCAAAAGTCTCTCCCTCAAGCGCGCCACCTCCCAATCCTCCTCTCCAATAGGTACCCCCACCACTGTTAACCCCGTCCACGACTGCTGCATTCCCAGCGGAATATCCCCAGACGCTGCCGCCTCCCCTCTTTCCCACATCCTACACTTGTGCGATTGCACCTCCAAGCCCACCCACTCCAGTCGCTCCCGCAAGACATCGTACGCCGCCAACACCCGCTCCCGCGGGCCAAGAACGTAGGTGTCACCAGCGTAGCTCAAGAAAAGAAGATCAGGGAAATCCTTCATTGTAGGCCCCATAACCAACTGCTGCGTGAAAGCAAAAAGGAAGGGACCAAATGGATCCCCCTGTCGCGAACCCCGCTCGGACGCCAGCATCTCGACAAAGGGGCCTGTGCGAAGGTACAGACTGCTGGGCACCCCATAAAAGACGCGTAAGAAAGGGATAAGGCCAGCAAAAGGAGAATCGCGGAGGCCGTCGAACATCACGTGTCGATGGAACGAGTTGAAGGCATTCGCTACATCGATCTGCAGCGCGCACCACGTCGGATGAACCGCTACAGCCGAGCGGAAACCATGCGCCAGAATCTCCACCCCCGACTTAGTCCCCACCCCTAGTTGGTTACAAGGAGCGAAGTAGGTCTCCATGTCGGGACGAAGAAGAACGCATAACGCACGCGCCAGAATCCGAGGGAGCACCTCTCCGATAGCCACTGGGCGGACGTCCCCGTTCGGCTTGGATAACCCAACCAAGTTCGAGGCTGCAAGCCAGGGCCGCACCCGCTCAGAAACGCATCCCGAAATCCACTGCCTGAACACCTCCAACAGATGCGGGAGATAGGAAGGCTCCGAGAGAAATGTGTCTCGGAGGTGCTCTGTCATCCATCCTGAGGGGCCTGGTGCTGAGGCTCGCGCTGCGGAATGAATAGCATGCTTGAGGATGTCTTCAGTTAGGTGGGGAAGATGAGAAACGTCTATGCGAAAGTGCTCCACCCACTCAGGAACTGGCACCTCACTGGCCGGGTGCTTTGCTGTCAGCCGGTCTACTGTTAGTTGAGAGGGCTGCGCCAAGTCGCCCGCAGTAAGGCATGCTAGTCCTCGACTCCATTCCCCCACTTGGCACCTCGTGCGACATCGGGCCAAACGGATGGCATCAGCATCTCGCTCAGGTAAGGAGAAGGCAAGAGGTCGCGCCGCCGGAGTCAACGCGGCAGAGGCAGCCTCGAACAGCTGTTGCCATTCCCCTGCCCAGAACTTTCCGAGACGCCCTACTATGGCTGCCCTTCGTCCAAGACCCTCCTTCGCGGGGACTCCCAAAATGAGGCGCGGGAAGGCCAGGAACATCAGCGTCGCCGCCTCATCCCAAGGGGAAGCCTTCAGTCTCTTGAGAATGCAGCACAATGCATCAAGCACCCCCAGTCGCGCCCGCTGCGGGACCCGACGAAGAAGCTCTCCCGACACAGAATGAATACTGAAAAAAGTCTCCCAGTCCCACGAAGGCACCGCCCCCCACACCTCCTCGCCGATATCCCGCGGAGGTACTGGATCTGCCCCGAAGACCTCGCTCAGGTTCGGGGAGGAAGTAAGGGCCTGAGCCCGCCGCTGAGCATCTGCCGCTTTACATGCAACTATGTGGCGGGAGGCCGCACCACCAGGCGGAAATGTGTGAAAGCAGAACTCGCAAGGGACACAAGTTGGAGCAAGTGGAGCCGTGTCAGGAGTGGCTGAATTCTCCGCAACCCCCGGTGTGGGGCTTTCCGGAGGGATCGGGGGGGGCTGCTGCTGCTGCTGCTGCTGACGCTGCTGCCGCTGCTGCTGCCGCTGCCGCACGCCCTGAAGTGCTGCCCTCGCCCCCAGCTGCCCCCCTGCGTGCTGCACGCCCTGAGGTGCTGCAGTCACCCCCTGCTGTCCCGCTGCCTGCTGCACGCCCTGGGGTGCTGCAGTCACTCCCTGCTGTCCCGCTGCCTGCTGCACGCCTTGAGGTGCTGCAATCAGTCCCTGCTGTCCCCCTGCCTGCTGCACGCCCTCAGGTGCTGCAGTCACTCCCTGCTGTCCCGCTGTTTGCTGCATGCCCTGGGGTGCTGCACTCACTCCCTGCTGTCCCGCTGCCTGCTGCACGCCTTGAGGTGCTGCAATCACTCCCTGCTGTCCCCCTGCCTGCTGCACGCCCTCAGGTGCTGCACTCACTCCCTGTCGTCCCCCTGCCTGCTGCACGCCCTGGGGTGCTGCAGTCACTCCCTGCTGTCCCCCTGCCTGCTGCACGCCCTCAGGTGCTGCAGTCACTCCCTGTTCCCCTGACAGTGGCCGCCGTCGCACCAGCTGGCCTCCCGGACGTTGGCTCGTAAGCGGCCGCCCCAACTCGCCCTCTGCCTGCTGATCCTGCTGATTGCCCGACCGCTGCTTGCCCTGGCCTCCGCGTCGCCTCCTGCCCTTGCCTCGTGGCAGTTGGTCGTCCAAGGGCCCCTGCGCCTGAGCGCCCAGCTCACGCAGCTGCTGCCCTCTCTGATCCGTTTCCCCTATCTGCAGCTCCCCAGGAGGAACAAAAAGATCTTGTTGGTGCTCCCCACTGTGGCCCGAGAGCTGTGACACAGGCACCAAATCTGTCTCCATTTCTTGCTGCTCCACTCGAAGTGGGCTCGCTACACCCATGACTTCCCATGTATCACCCACCCAGGTGCCCAGCTGCTGCCCCTGCTGCTCTCCCGGGTGCTGCTCCTCCAGCCTCAGTTCTTGCTGCTCCCCTGGCTGCATTTCCTGCTGCTCCCCTGGCTGCATTTCCTGCTGCTCCCCTGGCTGCATTTCCTGCTGCTCCCCTGGCTGCATTTCCTGCTGCTCCCCTGGCTGCATTTCCTGCTGCTCCCCTGGCTGCATTTCCTGCTGCTCCCCTGGCTGCATTTCCTGCTGCTCTCCTGGATGCATTTCCTGCTGCTCCCCCCGTTGTATTTCCTGCTGCTCCCCTGGCTGCAGCTCCTGCTGCTCTCCTGACTGCATTTCCTGCCGCTCTCCTGGCTGCATTTCTTGCTGCTCCCCCCGTTGCATTTCCTGCTGCTCCCCTGGCTGCAGCTCCTGCTGCTCCCCAGGCTGCAGTTCCAACTGCTCCCCGATCTGCATTTCCTGCTGCTCTCCTGGCTGCCGTGCCTGCTGCTCCCCCATCTGGATTTCCTGCTGTTCCTCCCCTATCTGCATGTCCTGCTGCTCCCCTGGCTGCCGTTTCTGCTGCTCCCCTGGCTGCCGTTCCTGCTGCTCTCCTGGCTGCATTCCCTGCTGCTCCCTCATTTGCAGTTCCTGCTGCTCCCTAAGCCACAGTTTCTGCTGCTCTCCTGGCTGCCATCCCTGCTGACCTTCGCCCAGCTGCTCATGCTGCCGGGGAGGCAGCCCACCCTGCTGACTCCGCTGTTGTTGCCTTTCAAACTGTTGCTCCTGCAACTCACTTGGCTGCCTTTCCGACTGTTGCTCGTGCTGGCCCTCGAGGCGCCCTCGTTGAGCAGTCCCGCTATGACCACGACCGCGACCTCGACCACGACGGCGCACGCCCTCTTGCCCCGTGCTCGCGGGCTGCACACCTTGTCCTTGCGCGCTCCGAAAGAGAAAAGTATGTTCCACAGCTCCAGCCCATCCCTTTAGAGACGCCCCCGTTCGTGCCTTCGGGAAGGGATTGATGTCTCTAGTCTCCCCTGCAGCCACCGGCAGACCCTGCTGCATCGCCGACAGCGTTTCCGGTTGCTCCCTCCCTGGTTTCCGTCCCTGTTCCCCACGCTCCCAATGCTCCTCCTCGAGTAACTCCCCCTGGACCTTTGTCGGCAGGCCCAGCTGGCCCTCCGCCAGACGGCTCGGCTGCCTCCTCAACACCTTTTCTGGCAGGCCTGCATCCGTCACCCCCTGCTGCCCACCTGCCCCGCACTCCCGGCCCTCATCCGCCAGCAGGCCCCCCTGCACCTCCTGCCTCCCCGCTGTCGACTCCGCCTGCTCTGCCGTCGCCCACTCTTGCCGACCGCCCGTGCCAGCTACCAACAAACGCCTCAGCTCCTGCCGTCGTGCCAAGCGCGGTCCAAGTGGAGCCCTGCTAGGACCCACTGAAGCTCCAAGAGTGCCGGGCGACTCTGTTGCCGTGGCACCAAGTGGAAGCTCGCGCCGCCGCCTATTATGCAGCTCCTGCAAGTGCCGGCGTTGCGCCTCCCACGCCGCCACTGCCCTGTCCATCCCCGGATCACTTGGTTCCTGCCCACGCCCATCTACCCCTCGGCTGTCTTGTGCATCCACCAGCCCAGAGGATGCGTGTGGGCAATTGGGCGATGCTTGCTGGTCTACCGAGGGCGTGCGTGGGGTAACAGCCGCCTCCCGCTGTTCACCAACCGTGAGTGGTGCCTCAGCCAAAGGAGGCTGAGCATCCCCATTACTAAGCCGCTGCGAAGTTCCTGAGAGCGGCGGTACACCGAGCATGTCGTTGGTGCTCATGGGGGCGGCTGGTGCCTCGCGGTGTCGTTTGCATGGTGTCCCCTCCGAGCAAAGTCGGTCTACCGAGCTCAGGCGCCGGAGACCGAGGAGGAGTGGCTGCGTAGGGCCTACCCAAGGCCGCTTGAGAGTGTTTGCTTGGGGCTGCGCTACATACTCCCGAGCGCTAGTGCCTGAGTGCCTGTCTGGGTCAGCAAGTGCTTCCGCCTCGCCATGCGGTGCCTGCGTAGGTGTGTGCTCGTGCTGCAAGTCGGCCATGCCGTGGATCCTGTAGCGCCTGTCTAGATCCGCGCTCTTCAGTTCCAGCTCCTAGCAACAAGAGAGCCCGGTGTGCCCGTGTGGCGGGGTAGCGAGAAACCGAACACTGCTAATCTTGCTCCAAGCGGGGAAAACCTGGTTGTGCACGTGGTAACGAGGAAACGCACACTGCATTTCCTGCTCCTAGCGAGGGAAAACCAGCTGCACACTCGGCTACGCGAAGACGTCCACTGCAGATCCTGCTCCTAACGTGAGTCGTGGCGTCAGGGGCGAAAGCAACAACCGTCCACTTGGGTCCCTGCTCCTAGCGTAAATCGCAGCTATGGCGTGAAACCGTCACTTCACTACGCGCTCCTACGTGGAATCGCTGCTGTGGGCAGGGTAGCGTGAAGCAATCGCTGCGCTAACCTGTTGCTCGCGGGATTCGTGGCCGTGGGCGCGTTGGCGTGAAGCTTACGTTTCGCGACCTAGTGCTAGCTGAATGCATACTACGTGTATTGAAAGGAGCTGAGGATGTTGGGCAATGGTCTTGAGGTGCAGCCTCGAAAATGGTGGCTGTTGGACTTCCCGTTTACCTCAGCACTAGGTGCGCCTGAAATCTAATGCTCAGCTAACATGAACGGTTTGCCTTCGTTTATATATTACTCACAGAACAAGGTCTGTTCCCCACAAAAATATTGCCATATGCCTGTACCACATTATACTATTACATTCCAACTCAAAAACACGAATCACTTGCACAAGGATTCACAAAAACTGACATTCGAAGCGGCCACAAATCGACTATTGTCACAGAATATCATCGTGGCACGACCTCGGGAAGCCCCTCCTCATCAAGCAAACGCACTAACCCGGCACCTGCCAAAACAACTCGTGTTTGCACGGTTGGCCGTATTCTTGAGGCGCGCAACAATCTCAACACTCGCCGCACCCCCTCCTCCATGCGCCGCTCCTGCCCTTGCTCCTCCACCCCAACATCCTCCATCACAACACTACCACCACTGAAATCACCCCCACCATCTCCATCTCGCTTCGAGCACTCTTCACCCACCACCTCACTTCCTTTCTCCTCCTCCTCACCCTCCACCCCACGCCCTCCACGCCCGGCCTCTCCCACTCCCTTCCCCCCTTTCCCCCGTCTGGCTCCCCGCAACACAGCCCCCAGCACCAGATTGTACATCCCAGCATCCATGGCATACATACCCTTGCCCACCTCACTCACCACCCTCTCTAACCTCTCCATCTCCCCTGCCTCTGCTAATCTTTCCACCACTGCAAGAAACACCCCCACCCTCACCTGCAACCTCCGCCGCCCCCTCTCTCCCTTCCGCCCACCCACCACCCGCGCTCCACGCACCCACCCACCACTCCCTACCCCACTCTGCGCACCCACACCACCCCCTTCCCTCACACCCCACTCACTCCCGTAGTCTTCCCCTAGGGCATCCACCACGGGGTTTGGAGAATCAACTCGGGGGCCTGCGCTTCCTCTCTTCCAGGACCATGGATGCCCTGCTGCTGCCGCTGCTGCTGCCTGCAGCAGCAGACTCACAGCACAGTCAATATCCTCGTTATAGAGCGCTCCGGTTATGAGGTGGTGGTAGGTGGTGGCGTCAGGGAGCATGTGAGAGGCACGCATGGTGGAGAGGAGGGAGAGGGCGTCGTGCATGCGGTGGGCGCATGTGTATGCGAGGAGTAGGCAGTTGTAAGATGCTGTTGTGGGTGCGTGGCCTGCTTGCTGCATGGCTGCGAAGGCCTGTGGTGGAGAGGGGTTGGGATGGGATGAGATGGGATGGGATAGATTGGGATGGAGGCAGGGTAAGAGCACGGTGGTGAGGCTTGGTTTGGACTTTAACGCAGTTAATGTGGAGGGTTGGAAGACAAGAGTATAGAGGAGGATGGGATGAACGAATGAGCAAAAGAAGAGTCGCGAAGCAGTACAAGAGCAGGACAGTGGCAGTCTCGCTGGAAGAATGACGTTGGGAAAATGCTCGGGGTTTGAGGTGCAGGGGTTTAGGGAGTGAACGTGGTACAATGGTGGGATGAAGAAGGGTTAAGGTGGGGAAAGGGCGGGATAGACGGAACCTTCTCAGCGTCTTCCACTCGGCCAGCCACAGCATAGCAGTATATTCGAGCCATGTGCAGTATCCTGCATAGGACAGGAACAACAGAGGGAGGGGTGCAGAGGGATGAAACGTGGAAGAAAGGGGTGAAGAGTGGTGAAGAGAGGTGAAGCAGGATGAACAAAACATTCTCGGGGGGGAGCAAGGTGACAGATGGATGGGAAATCCAAATCCAAGACTCACCGCTGCACAACCTAGCCTTAGCAGATCAACTCACCCCTCCTCCATTCAACCCATTCCCCCCCTCACCCCAACCTCTCCCATCTCCAACATCCTTCCCCCCCAACCCCCGCTTCCCCCCAATTCTCCCGCCGTGTCTCTCTTGACTCTCACCTGAGCTCATGCCCCTTGATTCCTTCCAGCTCCCCCACCACCTCTTCCACCCGCCGCACATCCCCTATCCGCGCATACGCCCACGCTAGCCCCACCAGCACCGGAACCGGCATCCCCTCCCCCCTCCCCGCCTGCAGCTTCCGCATCTCCTGCACCAACCCCTCCGCCTCCCCCACTCGCCCCTGGGAGAAGAATGCCCAGGCGGCAGCGGTGAGCGTGGGGAGGGAGGGCGGGAGGGGCGAGTGGGCGAGGCGGTGCAGGAGGGCGCGGATGGATGGGAGGTGGCGGCGCCGCGCATAGGCCTGCATGAGATGCTCGTAGGCCGTTGGCGTTGGGAGGATGCCCTGGGGGGAAGGGGGAACGGGGGAGAGGGGGGAACGGGGGAGAGGGGGGAACGGATAGGGGGTTGAGGGTGGCGGCGCCGGGCATAGGCCAGCATGAGATGCTCGTAGGCCGCTGGCGTGAGGGGGATGCCCTGGGGGGATGGGGGGTACGGAGAGGGGATTGAGTGAAGGAGGAGGAATGATGGGATGCTGTGGGAGACAGTTGAAAGGGAAATAGAGCGGTTTAGAGTGGTGGCGGTGATGGTGATGATGATTATGTTGGTGGTGGTGATGATGGTAATAACGATTAGCATTATTATAACCCCTCCCTTTTTTTCCCTCTTCACCTCCCTCCCCACCGTTTCCTCCCTCAGCCTCCCTCCCTTCCACCGCACCTTGCTTGCCATTTCTCGTGCCACGCGCTCCACGTCTCCCAGCAAGCCTCTCACGCCGTACGCCAGCATGCGCGCCTCAAACCCCAGCGCGCTCTCCCGCACGCCCAGGGCGCGCAGCATCACCATGCGCGACTCCACCCGCTGCACCAGGCCCCGCCGCGCGTAGTTGTGCAGAATGCCCATGTATACCTGGGGGGGTTGAGAAAGGAGGATGGGGAGGGGGAGGGGGAAGGGGGGGGGGAGGGGAGGGGAGGGGAGGGGAGTAGCGGGCTTGAGACACGACTTCACCCGCCGCACCAGCCCCCGCCGTGCGTAGTTGTGTAGAATGCCCATGTATACCTGAGAAGGGGGACGAGGAGGGCACGTATTGAACAGTGTTCGAATTGAGCAGATGGCACAGATAGTGTCGAGACAAGTAACAATCCACTAGATATTAGATCGACATGGCATGCCTGGGTTGCTTGCTTCTTATAGACACCAGACGCACACACCAATCACCTCCTCCGTTTGCAGGTCTCTGGGCAGAAGCGCGAACATTTCTTCTGCCCGGGTGACGCGGCCTGCCCGCACGCACACGTCCAGCAGCAGCCGCCAGTCGTGCTTGCCCAGCCAGTAGTGCGGACTGCGCACCACGTGCTCTGCCACCTGGGGGGAAAGGGGAGGTGGGAGGAAGGGGGGATCGAGTAGGGGAGTTCTTTTCTAATCTACATCACACCTTGCCTTGCCCAGCCAGTAGCGCGGACTGCGCACCACGTGCTCTGCCACCTGAGAGAATCGGGAGACATGGAGGGGGGGGGTGAGGGGGGTGGGAGATGTTTTTGACTCAATCACACCTTGCGTTGCCCAGCCTGTAGTGCGGGCTGCGCACCACATGCTCTGAAACCTGGAGGGGAGAGGCGGATGAGAGAAAAGGGGATGGAAAGCGGATGATGGGGGGATGGGTGCTGGAGGGGGGTGGCATGGAGTAGTATTTGAGGTGCGCACCACACCTTGCTCAGCCAGCACCAGCAGTGAGGGCCCCACACCACGTGCTCTCACACCTGCACGGATCGGGAGACATGGGGAGGTGTCGGAGGGAGGTGGCAGTGAAGTGATTTTGAGTGAAAATGAGAACCACGCCTTGCCTTGCCGAGCCAGAAGTGTGGGCTGTGCACCACGTGCTCTGCCTGCCACCTGGGGGGATGGGGCGGACGAAGATGATGGGTGTCGAAGGGAGGTGGAAAGGGAGTTGGTTTGAAGCTGTGCGGACAGCACACCTCACCCAGCCAGTACTGCGGGCTGTACACCACGTGCTCTGCCATCTGTGGGGGGGGGAACAGAAGGTGGGGAGAGGGGGGGGTAACGTGTGTGTGTGTTTGTGTGTGTGTGTGTGTGTGTGTGTGTGTGTGTGTGTGTGTGTGTGCACGCACGCACGCATGTGTGCAAATGGGCTGGCAGAAGGTTGGGGAAGGGGAGAGGCAAAGGGGGTGGCTGCTACCTGCTTTTCCCCCTCCCGTCAACCTGGCACTTCGCAACTCACAGCAACACTCCAAACTTCCTCAGCACCCCTCAGCACCCACCAGCACCCTCCAGCACCCTGGGGCATCGCACCTCAAACGCATGCACAAGCCGAAGCCGCTCCTTGAGCCGGCCAATCAAAGCCAGCAGCAATTCCTTGGACAGCGGCCGACCGTGCCCGTCCGCATGGTGGGCGTGCCAGGAGAGCACGGCGGGCAGCACACGCGCACCGCCCTCAGGCACATGCTGCACCACTGACCACATGCTCTCTAGAGCCTCTGCTGCTCGGGAAACACGAAGTGGGGTGGGGCCGTGGGGAAGAAAAGAGGGGGGGGAAGGAGGGAGGGGTGTGTGGTTGGAGGCAGACAGGCAAGGGTGACTCGGCAAGGACTCGGCAAGGACTTCAGGGTATGGCGGCAAGGGTCTGCTCATGAGCCACAAAGGTGTGACGCGATGATTTGGAGCGGATGGGACGGCGACTTGGCGAGTACACGATGAAGATGAAGATGAACCGGATTACGTGCCGGGAACACCCGTGAGCAAACCTGTCTGTGCTCCCTCCCGTCCCTCCCGTCCCTCCCATCCCTCCCATCCCTCCCGTCCCTCCCATCCCTCCCATCCCTCCCATCCCTCCCATCCCTCCCATCCCTCCCATCCCTCTCATCCCTCCCATCCCTCCCATCCCTCCCATCCCTCTCATCCCTCCCATCCCTCCCATCCCTCCCATCCCTCCCGTTCCCTCCCCTTCCCTACTCACCTGCATTGTACCCTGTGCTCTCCTCCTCCTCCACAACATCTTTCTCCACCTCCGTAAACCCCTCCCACCCCGCCTGCCCCTGGCCTTCCCCGTCTAAGCCCTTCCGCATATCACTGCCACCGCCCATTCCTCCCATCCTTCCCATTCTCCATGTGCCCCCTCCGTCCTCTCTGCTCCCTTCCGTTATCTCCTCCCCCACCTCTCTGCTCTCCACCTCGGCCTCCCTCCTCCCCACCTCCCCATCCCTCCTCTCCACCTCCCCCTCCTTCCTCGCTACTACACTCTCCCCCATTGCCGCACTACAGCCATGAAACCGCCTTGCCTTGATCCACGCCCAGGCCAATTTTCCTCCTCCTCCAACCTCTCCTCTCCCCCCTCCTCCGCCGCCTCCTCTTGCTGCCACTGCACCTCTCCCCGCGCACCTCTTCATTTCCTCCCCCCATCCTCTCCCCCAAACCCCCCTTCCTCCTCCTCCCCATCCTCCTCCGCTCGTGTTCCTCCCACATCCACCCCACTCCACTCCATTCCCTGCCAACGATAAACTGACACGTGGCAGCACCTCATTGTGGCCAGCAGGAGATGGGAGGCGGAGGTGGTGAGGGAGAGGGGGAGGGCAGGGCGGGGAGGCATGTGTGTGTGGGCATGGGGGGTCGCATGGAGGAAGCTTCTCAGAACACAGGGGCGCGTGTGACAGTGGGAGGGTGAGGGCTGCAGGGATTGATTGTACCACTCGTGATTGTGTTGATGGTGATTGTAGTGAATGTGATAGGCGGAGAAATTGGCAGGAAGGGGGGAAGTGGAGGATCCGGTGGGAGTGCGTGGGGGTGTGCGTGTGGGTGTGAGTGTGTTCGTGGTTGAGGGTGTGGGGCGGGGGTGGGGCGAGTTGCGGGCAGAGGGGGAGGGAGGAGCGAAGGGCAGGTGCGTCAAGAGTGTGCGCGCAAGGCGAGGGGAGGACCGCACTGCAGACACGCGGGAGAGGGGGATGGGCGGGGGATGGGAGGGGGTTGAGGGTGAGCATGGGCGGTGGGGCCCACGGGGAAGACGAGAGTCGATGAGAGCGCATGCATGGATGCATGCATGTGAGTGGTGAGTGTTCGTTCACCCATGAACGCACGAACGTGAGGACACACGCGCCATTGCGCGAAGAACAACCCGATGCTACGCAGCCTACAGGGGGAAAAGCTCCTATCTTACGCCTTATAATGACCTCTTGAGAGAAAACACGTCCTTTCGGCACCCTCTCAGGAATAGAGGTTTCTAACACCTTCGCACCCTCTGCACGCCCACCCCACAACCGCACCCTCCTCCCGTGATTCCGACGGCCCTGCTGCTTCCTCTCCCCCTTCTACCTACGCTGAACGCGATCGCGCGGAAAGCCCCTTCCGCTTCCCCCCTACCTGGGCAAACGATCCGCGGCCTGGCGGTAGCGGCGGGCGCAGTGGCGCAGCGCGGCGGCGAGGAGCATGGCGGCGCGGCTCGAAGCTCGCGCATGGGCGCCGTCGCGGCGCGCGGACGCGTCTCAGCGGCTGCCGCTACGGGCGGACATCATCCCAAAAATGGGTCGGGGTGTGCAGTATGTTTGAGAAAGTTAAAACCCGCGTCTCAAATTTCCAAGCGTAATACCTTTGGTTTGCTTCTCAGACAAGTGATTTGCTGGCGAGGCACGAAATGAAAGTTGACGAGGAAGAAAAAATCACACGAAACCTGAACAGAACCAAACCAGAAGCGAACCAAGCACAAAGGCTCGGGATGCACCAAAGCCGGTACAAAAGGTTCGAGAGAGTCGCACGGAAGAGCACTCGCGTCTACCCAAGGAAACGAAGCGACAACAAGTGATGCAGTCGTCGATACCTTGGACCCTGGTGGTTCTTTGTACAGTTATGGGATAAGTCAGTTATGTTTGTGGTGTTGAAAGTAAAGAGTAGGTAGCTCATGGTGGAAATAGTACTTGAAGTGTGAAGGAATAGCATAACGCATGTACCGTATGGTGATTTTTTATGCATGTTTCAAAATTTGCAACCATTTATAGGTCGAGATATGGTAGGGAAACTAGAATAGAGGCTTCTACTTCTAGTGAATTCACATACGAAAAAGAACCAGCACGTAAGTGTGGCTGACACAACCCATGTGATCCTGATGTGAGCATGAGGCACATGGAACGCCCCCCCACTTCATCACTTCTGCCCGTTATTTGCCCTTGCACCCTTCGTTTCACACTGGAGTTTCGGATGTCTTGACTTGTCCCTTCCTCCTTCCCGTGCGTCCTGTCAAGGGAGGAAGGGAGGGAGGCTTGGGGGAAGGGAAGGGGGATGCGGGGAAGGGAAAGGGGATGGGGGAAGGGAAAGGGAGATGCGGAATGGAAAGGGGATGGGGGAAGGGAAAGGGGGATGGGGAAGGGAAAGGGCGTGGTTGGAAGGGATAGGGAGATTGCGGGGAAGGAAACTGAGATGGGGGAAGGGAAAGGGGGATGCGGAGAAGGGAGAGAGGAATGGGGGAAGGTAGATGGAGATGGGGTAAGGGAAAGGGGATGCGGGGAAGGGAAAGGGGATGCGGGAAGGGAAAGGAAAGGGCGGAAGGAAATGGGGATGCGGGAAGGGAAAGGGGGATGGGGAAGGGAAAGGGGATGGGGGATTGCGGGGAAGGAAACTGAGATGGGGGAAGGGAAAGGGGGATGCGGAGAAGGGAGAGAGGAATGGGGGAAGGTAGATGGAGATGGGGTAAGGGAAAGGGGATGCGGGGAAGGGAAAGGGGATGCGGGAAGGGAAAGGAAAGGGCGGAAGGAAATGGGGATGCGGGAAGGGAAAGGGGGATGGGGAAGGGAAAGTGGATGGGGATTGCGGGGAAGGAATATGAGATGGGGGAAGGGAAAGGGGGATGCGGAGAAGGGAGAGAGGAATGGGGGAAGGTAGATGGAGATGGGGTAAGGGAAAGGGGATGCGGGGAAGGGAAAGGGGATGGGGGAAGGGAAAGGGAGACGCGGAAGGAAATGGGGATGCGGGAAGGGAGAGGGAGATGCGGAATGGAAAGGGGACGGGGGGAGGGAAAGGGGGATGCAGAGAAGGGAGAGAGGTATGGGGGAAGGGAAAGGGAGATGGGGTAAGGGAAGGGGGATGCGGGGAAGGGAGAGAGGATGGGGGAAGGGAAGGGAAAGGGGGATGGGGGGTGGGAAGGGGGGTACGTGGAAGGGACGGGGGATGGGGGAAGGGAAGGGGGATGGGGTGGATGTGCAGCAGCAGCAGCTGCCGCACCACAGAACCCGTTCACACCCATTCACCGGCCGCGCCTCCTCCCGTCCCTTCTCATATCGGCGCGTCTCCTCCCGTCCCTTTCCTCACCTTTCCGGCGCTTTCATTTCCGTCTCATCCCTTCCTGTCCCTTCCCGTTCCCGGATGTACCCGGGACCTAGAATTGCGCGTCGCTCAACATCCCTTCCCTCCCCCTCCCCTTCCCGTCCTGCATCGTCCATTCAATTTCGGCGCGTCTCCTCCCTTTTCCTCCCGTCCCTTCCAGTCCCGTTTCGTCCAGTCGCGGTCCATCCCGCCCGTCTCGTCCCGTCCTGTCCCGTCGAGTCCCCACCCGTTCCGTCGGGTCCCGTCCCGCCCGGTCCAGTCCCGTCGCGTCCCGTCCAGTCCCGTCACGTCTCTTCCCGCATCGTCACGTCCCTTCCCCTTCCGTCGCGTCACTTCCCGTCCCGTCGCGTCCCTTTCCGTATCGTTCCTTCCGTCCCACTTCGTCCCTCGTCGCGCGTGCGGATATGCTATTGCTATGTTATTCCTCCTGGTTTTCGCGCAGGAAATAGCCGTACGATCGACCATTACGATGAGCCGTCCGAACACTCGCAGATATGCATGAAATTTTGTACAAAATAGTAATGAACAGCCATGAACAAACCCTAGTCTAAACTAAGTTGTTGGAAAGAGTCTAGGGCTGGAATGGAAAGTGGTTGCTCAACTGTCTCGTATTATTTCTGCTGTGGTATTACGCTTGGTTCCGTGTGTGCTCTGCCTTCGTCGCACTTGGTGGTGTGTTTCGCGCGAATGCAGTTCGGTAGTCGTGCATCTGCCTTTCCCAGCCTGTTGGGGCTGCAGCCAATCGCAAGTGCTCCCAACCAAACCCAACCAAGTTGCGACTGCTTGAGTGGTTACCCGGTTTCAAACGTATTACACTTGGTTGGGAGTTGTGAAATATGAGACGCTTTCATGTCGCGTGGATGAGAGTATGTTGCTAGTATCTGCAGTAGCTAAGAGCGTGGAACACCTGCTAGGGTTTTAGCGACGATCCTACGAAACATTTGGCGATCTTACACAACAGTGTCCGATCTTACACAACAGTGTCCTACACAGTGACAATTGTAATCAGTGATAGCCAATCGAAGTCATCAAAATCATGACCATACAAAAGTAGGTAAGACAATGTTCTGTAGGATTGCCAACTGTGCTTAAGATTGCCAACTGTTCCGTAGGGTCGTCGCTAAAACCCTAGCAAGTGTACCGCGCTCTAACATGTAACTTTGGCGTAGGTTTCCCAAAGTTTCGGAACCAGGGTTGGATGACTTCGCGGTATGTTTTTGACTTCGCCAACCCGAACCTCTCGCAAGCCCAGGTGCTCTGTTTCGAAAAGGTGCGCCTCAGCTTAGTTAGAGAATTGTACCGTTGTTTCTGTCTTGTTTCAAGCTTATATGCGATAAATGTTTTTGACAAACCAATTGATGACATTAACGGCTAATTGTTAATATTGATAACGTGTCATGCATTTTCCAAATTCGATTACTCGAGCATGTAACGAACAACGAAATGAGATTGTGCACTCCTAACCGCAGCAAAGTGAAGCACACAATATCGAGCGAACAGGCTGAATGAAGCGAAGAATCGCGTACGGTTACAAGAGCATCTGGACTGTCGGAGCAGACAGCGTGGGGCAGCTGCAGGAGCGAGGGAATTGGCGGGAACATGTTTGGGTTTGAATTCGAATAAGGGAATGTGTCCCTTACAGTACATGGCTAGCTAGGATAATTCGTACTCTCTTGTACTACCAGGGTTATGCTTGTATTCGCATGTTTTAATCATCTCGATCATTTTACATTCACTCTGATTCGATGTCAAGGGCCCACCAACTATTTGAGCAAACCTCCCTGAGGTGATCCTGGTTACGATTAATTTCAGATCGCAACACGGTATGAGGGCGACTCAGGAAACCATCGCAACAACAACCCCGAAACCATCGGCGAATGAAAGTGGCGTCCGGCACACGCTCATGCGTAAGAATGGCCGGTGGATCTGGAGGTCATACGAATCTGACCGCTGAATCGCAACCCAACCCGGTTGCGACAAACAAGGCGACGACAACGATTGGAACCACGGTCCTCGAACAACTGCTGCAGCGACTCACGAACTTGGAGCAAGGCCTCCAGAGATTGCGGAATGGCGACGCGGGAACATCTTCCCAGCCCTCTCAACCGGCCTCGAATGGCCACAATATTGCCCCGCATACCTTCTCCCTCGACACAAATGGCTCAACCCCCAAGTCTCCCCGTCCCTGCGAAGAAGCAATTCTTTCTGCGCAATCAAGGATCCTGAATATATAACAAACACAACTGTGTGCTATGACGGCAGAGATTTCTATACCTGGAGCTTCGAGCGGGAGCTACTGCTGTAGAACGCACATATATTCCACTATTTCAACAGGGGTTACGTGGGACCTGCCGAATACACCGCGGTCGCCAGGGCAAGATACTACAACGAGTCCCTGATGGCGTACGGGGTCTTACTGCGCACCATGTCGCCAGCGGAGCAGTTGAGCATTCGCTCGTACAAGACAACGCCCGCTATAGCCCTCGAAGCCTGGCGGCATCTGAACGGCATATACCAACCGAAAGACTCGGTTTAATCAAGCAGCCTGCTCCAGCAACGACTGGAGACAAAAACGGTTGTCGGAGCTCACTCGATCAATTCGCGTAACTAGGGAGCACCATTTCGGAAGAAATCTTCGTGAACATCGTGCTCCAAGGGCTTGGCCCGGAGTGGCGGCCCTGCAAGGCGTTTCTCCGACAGCAGGGGGTTATCTCGGAAGCCGCCCTATGCGTCGCCCTTCTCGTCGAACAGAGAGACATGGATCAGCTGCGACCAGCGCCGCGACGAGACCGGGAGTGCCTCGCCTTCTACGCCGATAACACAGAAGAGCGACGGCCGCGGCGTCTTTACTACAAAATTCGCAGAAAGTTCGGGCCCTTGGCGGATCGTTCAAATACCAATCTCGCCGTCGCCAGACCAATCCAAGCACTTAGTCCGGCCGACAAGACGCACGAAATGACACGCCGTAAAGCCCAGAAGTATCAACCCCCATCGAGCAACCTGAACCCAGCGGTTCAGCCCCAGCAGCAGCAGCCGTCGCCGCCTGCTCCAATTCGCCACATCTTGGGGAACATGGCCACGACATGTGATTCCCGTCGTCGCCGCGTGTGCTCGCCGTCACCAGAGGCATCACTCTATCCAATCAAGGCATTCACGGACAATAATCCGCTCAGCACTCGCCACGACTTCAACGACGATGACGTAGGACTGGAACCTTCCAGTCCCACTGCTGGAAAGCCCACCGCACGTACCTGATGTGCGGGCGGCACCGCTCGATTGGATTTTACGCGAGCAATATTTGAAGTTAGACACACCGCACATCGTTACTCCGCGTCTGGCGTTGCTCGCACGTGACGATCGCAAGTGCTACAACACCTGGTACCTGGATAGCTGCTGCGTGAAGCACATGGTTGGATCCGAGCGTTTTGTCTACAACACTGTCGCAACCCCAACAGACACCTACGTCATTGTGGCCAGCAATACCCGCCAACGCGCAAGTGCGCAAGACATCGTCGTGCTCAAGGCATGAGGAAGCCGCAGTGACGTCTCACTTAAGGATGTGCTGATCGTCCAGAACCTGCTCTTCAACCTGCTTTCCGCCACTGCAACACATGGATTGCGGCGTCGAACTCAACACGGTTCGCAACACGCGCGACATCTTGCTGCACTACTCATCGCCGACCACATCACGCAGGCAGATCGGACGGGCATGTCGAGATAGGAAACGAGAGAGTGTCGAGAAAGTATGTTTACCCCCTAAGGCTAGGCCCATGGTAACCCAGTTCAGTGCGTGGTAGTCGATGCACATGCGAAAACCCCCATCTTTTTTCAGTGTGAATAGTATCGGTGCGGCGAAGGGCGACGAACTCGGGCGAATGAACTCCTTCTCGAGCAGGTAATCTAGTTGCTTCCTCAGTTCGTCCAGTTCAGGTTGGGTCAATTGGAACTGTCGCTGTACCATCGGGTGTGCCCCCGGTTCTAACTCTATCTTGTGGTCGTGCGGTCGCTGAGGTGACAGTCCTGTCGGCAGATCGTCCGGAAAAATCCCACTGTACTGCTTCAGTAGCACTGCCAAGTCATCCAGTACGTCCGCTAGCAGTTTCTGTAAATCACTCCCCTTTTTTGCTACCTCGGCTTCCCGAATGTCAACCGCAAACACGTCACCTCCTGCCGCTACGGCACGTTTCATCGTGATCGCGTTGACATGCACCGACGAAGACTCAGGTGATCCCCAGCGAGGTAAGGTGATGTTGTTACCGTTCACTCGCACAGTGCAGTCACCCGTCGTCCAGTCGATTCGCGGATTGTGTCGTCGCAGCCAATCACGGCCGAGTAAAATGTCGGTACCGTCGAGGGTCGTTGCGAGCATTTCCTGGCTAAACGTGATACCCCCGCATCAAATCCGAACTCGGTCCATGCGTTCCCGTATCGCCAGTGGCGTGCCGTCGACTAGACTTGCATCGATCTCAGGTAAACACTTGTCCAGTGGCAGTTTCAGTCTCCGTGTTGTGGCAGTGTTGATGAGGCTGTGGCTGGCCCCCCCGTCTACGAAGATTTTAACTAAGTCTGTCCCGGTCTTCCCACCATGCAGTATGGGGCTATCTACCGCGGTACCCTCCTTATTCGGCCGGGTGTGGTCGATTGCGTGAACCGCACAATCAATTTGTGAGGGTCGGTTGGGTCGGGCGAGTGGCGTGACCTGTCACTAGAGGGCCCATCTACTACTAACTCCCAGCGTTTCCCTACTGCTTGGTCTGTTTCTGCTGCTCAACTTCCCCCTTCCCCTTAGCGTTTTCCGGACATTCGCTTTTGCGATGTCCCAGCCGATTGCACGCGAAGAAGCACCCTTTAAACGATGCGGCAGTGGCATTCGCAGCGACGGCGCGTATCGTGGCATGCTCGTTCGTTCTATGAGACCGATGTCCCCAGTTGCTGCTACTTCCGTAGGACCCCAGTCTCGGTCGGCGGAAGAAATCGAGTTTCTCCGCCATAGTGAGAATCTCCCGAAAGTCGGTGACGCCGCGTAGCTGAATTTCTTAGGCGATCTCGTGCTTTAGGCCGCCGATGTAGCAGTCGATGCGCTCGCCTTCGTGCATATAACCCACTTGCTCACGCAGCGCCAGAAACCCACTGGTGTAGTCCTAGACGGAACCGAGCTGGCACCAAGTGCGGGGCTTCTGACGCGCTGCGATCGAAGCCGCAATTGGCTCAATTCGAGCGCGCAGACCTGCACACCACGCGTCCCACGTGCGATATTGTGGCACCTCCATGAAATACGACGGCGCCTAGGGTCCGGTTTGTCCTTCTCGTGTCGGTAGAGTCGCGTAGTCCGCCAGCTTCGTGACGATGACGCGCCACCAATCCATGGCGGGTCCTCGCAGCAGCGATTCGGCATAACGAATATTTGCCGTATCCTCCGAGACGTAGTTCGCGTCGAAAAACACGTTCATGGTGAATAACCACGCCTGAACGGTAGGACCACCCCATTGAATCGGGTCAAAGCAAGGCGGACGCTGCGGCTTCAGTGGCATCGAAATCGTGACGGGAGGTTGGCTTCTGGCCGCATTCGTCGCTTCAGGGTGTGTCGCGCCGTGGTCGTTGTCTCCGTCGTTGCGGGCGACGCCATCACTAGCCGCGCTCGAGGGTTGCCCCACACTTCCGTGTTGTGATGCTTGTCGTGCAGGTTGTCCCGGTGTGCCTGGTGCTTGCGATTGTGCTTGTTGTGCTCGTGCGACGTCATTTTGCAGGGACGTACGTTCTGCCGTCAGCGCCGCGATTTCTTCAGAGCTTTCGCGAAGTTGCTGCAGCAGTTCATTCAGGCGCTCCTGCGTCAGCGTAGTGACGTCGATATGCTCGGCCATGTCGAAGGGCGTCGGCTCAACTTAGTCTAGGCGCGGTCGTGGCTGCACGCGTTTACGAGAGAACGCGAGGACAGCGGCACCTAGGGGCTAAGGGGCGTGAGTCCCTTAGAGAAAAAAGCAAAAGTTGATTTCCAGGGGTGCGGAGATGCGCAATCTGAAAGAAAGTGGCTCTGATAACCAAGTTTTAAGGGTGCAATAGAACAAGATAGCGAGGATTGCACTAGGTGTCAAACGAGTACAAAGTATGAGCGAAGGCATGAGCGAATACTTATGTGCGAAACATGCAACGGTTACACGGTGCGTGCGAGCTAGCTAGTGCTAGTGTGAGAATCTGGTTCAGGAAAGATAATTCTATTCAATGATCAACCTGGGTACAAGGCGATGCTATATATAGGCTCGACACGAAGGCAGTAACCCTGGTGTTACTAGAAGGTTCCGCGGGTCGCGAAGCGTCCTGAACGGGTCCTTCCCGAATTCGGTAGAAGGCAATTCGGTGGCACCCGAAAAGCCTAGAATTCAGTGCACTCAACCTAGTTCGGTGCCTATAACTGTAATAAATATAGTAAAAGCAACGAACCTAGGAAATCTAGCAAAAGCAAGCAAAGCAAAATAAAGCTAAGCTAGATAATGCATAATAAAGCATAATCAAGCAAGTATAGCTTAGCAAAGCCGTCGTATTCTCACAGCTAGGCTGGCATCGAGGTTCGGGCTAGTCCCGAAGCTTAGGCCAACTCGGCCGGGCCAGCGGTGAATGGTTCGGTGAAACAGTGCGCGCGAAGTTGGCGAAGCCCCGTTAGCAGTAACGGGCGAACAACGGCTGCTGCTGTACGCTATGTTGACGGTCACGGTAAGGAATGGCGAGAAAATTCCTTACAATAGTAAGCACCGGAAGTAATGACCATAAGGGTTTGGTAGTACAGTAAATGGCCATTACTGGAGCGGCGCTGCTGGTGCTTTGGACCCTGGAGCTGGAGCTGCTGCTGGTGCTGCGGACCCTGGAGCTGGAGCTGGTGCTGGTACTGGTGCTGCTGGTGCAGGAGCTGCTGGTGGTGCTGCTGGAGGTGCTGCTGGTGCTGGAGCTGCTGGTGCTGGAGCTGCTGGAGGTGCTGCTGGTGCTGCTGGAGGTGCTACTGGTGCTGGAGCTGCTGGAGGTGCTACTGGTGCTAGCGCTGCTGGAGGTGCTGCTGGTGCTGGAGCTACTGGAGGTACTGCTGGTGCTGGAGCTGCTGGAGCCGCTGGTTCTGGAGGTGCTCGTACTGGAGGTACTGGAGCTGCTGGGGTTGCTGGTGCTGCTGGGGTCACAGTTAACGCTTGCCTCTCCACTGCCTGGTCCTTCTCCTTACGCTGGGCCGACTAGAGGTCTTACGGAGCGTCGTGAGCCTGAGTCTCGTCCTGCGTCGCCTGAGTCTCGTCCTGCGTCGCCTGAGTCTCGTCCAGAGTCGCCTGTCCGCGCTGTCCGCGCTGGTCGTCGTGCTCCGCGTCAGCGTCCTCCTCCTGTACTTGGCACTCACTATATGACTCTGCGTCCTTCCACTGCTCCACAGCGTGTCCCTCTGCCGTCTCCTCCTGCGTCCTCTCTTCCTGATGGTCCGGACCCGGAGTCTGAATCCCTTCGTGCTGCCAGTCCTACTGTCACGCGTTTCCTCGCCACTGTTGTCACTGACCCTACCTTTGAGTCCTCTGCTGCGTCTGCTCTATGTCAAATAGATTTATATCTATTTAGTATAATCTGCCTGTAGTGTAGCTGTTGTGTAATACCCTTGTATGGTGGTGCACCTCTTTCACCTTTGTTAGGTTGCTATATGTACTCGTGTGCTATAGTGAACCTACACACATTCTCGACATTTCTCCTTGGCACAAACTCCTCGACACTCGTGGCCTAGGCTCCTAAGCCTAGGCCCTAGCTAAACCCAGTTCCTAAGTTAAGTTAGTCTCGTAACATGGTATTGAGCTAGCAAGTTCCTAGCCTGTACAATCTTATGGGCCCACCGACCCGTAATTCGTCGCCCGTCGCACGTCGCCCGCACGCCCCGTAGCCTGCCGTCGCTCGGACCCCCGCGGTCCCCTCGTTTCGCGCCCCGAAGGCCCCCTGTTTCGCGCCCCGAATGCCCTCCGGTTCGCGCCCCGAAGGTCCCCGTTTCGCGCCCCGAATGCCCTCCGATTCGCGCCCCGAAGGTCCCCGTTTCGCGCCCCGAATGCCCCCCGTTTCGCGTCCCGCAAGGTCTTCGCGGCCCCTCGATCCCGTCGCCCAGCTTCCCGTCGCCCCGCTTCCCGTCGCCCCCCTTCCCGTCGCCCCGCTCCCCGTAGCCCGCTGCCGCTCCTTAGCCTGTCGCATTACCCGCGCCCCATGCCCGTCACCTCCCCCCCCCCCCCCCCCCGTCGCGGCTGTTCGCGTGCGCAGCGGCGGTCGCTGTGTGGGGGAGAGGGAAACGGGGAAGGGAGTGGCGGTGGATCGCTGTGGGGGGAAAGAGGGCAAGGGGGAAGGGAGTGGCTGCGGATCGCTGTGGGGGGGAAGAGGGCAAAGGAGAAGGGAGTGGCGGCAGAACGTCAGCGACGACCGCCAGCGCACCGGCGATCGCACCAGCGCTCGCGCGCCGCCTGCTGCTGCAATTCGTCGCCAGCGCGCTGCCCGTTCCTGCAGCCTGCCGCCTGCCCGTCACCTCCCCCCCCTCCCGTCGCCCCCACCCACGCTCCCGCCAGCGCCAGCCGCGCCTGCGACTGCTACCGTGCTAGCTCGAGGTGGTGGGGGTGGCGGCCAGTGGGGAGGCAGCGGGTATGGAGGTGGAGGTGGTGGGCTGTTTGGGGGAGGGTAAGGGGGTGGCGAGAAGGATTCTGCAGCCTCAACCGCCTCCTCCTCCTCTCCCTCTCAGTCTCGCATATGCTACTGTGGGGGGAGGATGAATGTGTGTGGGAGTGGAACTGCAGCCCCATCCACTGCCACCACACCTCCTCCTCGCTCTCTGTGCCGCTACTACTGCTGTGGGAGGGAGGTTCAGGGAGTGTGGGTGGTGAGAGTTCAACTGCAGCCGCCGCCTCCTCCTCTCATCCCCTGCTGCCCGTGCCCGTGCTGCCCGCCCGTGTTCCCCGTGCTTGCCCCGTGCCCGTGCCCGTTCTGTCCGCCCGTGTTCCCCGTGCCCGTGCTGTCCGTACCCGGTTGTGCCCCACCCGTCTCACCCGTGCTGTCCGTACCCGGTTGTGCCCCACCCGTCTCACCCGTGCTGTCCATACCCGGTTGTGCCCCACCCGTCTCACCCGTGCTGTCCGTACCCGGTTGTGCCCCACCCGTGTCACCCGTGCTGTCCGTAACCGGTTGTGCCCCACCCGTCTCACCCGCGCTGTCTGTACCCGGTTGTGCCCCGCCCGTCTCACCCGTGCTGTCCGTACCCGGTTGTGCCCCACCCGTCTCACCCGTGCTGTCCGTACCCGGTTGTGCCCCACCCGTCTCACCCGTGCTGTCCGTACCCGGTTGTGCCCCACCCGTTTCACCCATGCGTCCCGTGCTTCCTGTGCTGCCCCCATGTTCCCGTGCTGCCCCCGTGTTCCCGTGCTGCCCCCGTGCTCCCGTGTTGCCCCGCTCTCCCCGTGCTGCCCCGTTCTGCCTGTGTCGTGCCCGTTCCTGTGCCGTGTTGCCCCGTTCAGCCCCTGTCCTGCCCCGTTCTGCCTGTGCTGCCCCGTTGTGCCCGTGTTGCCCCGTTCTGCCCGTGTTGCCCCGTTCAGCCCGTGTCCTACCCCGTTCTGCCCGTGTTGCCCCGCTCTGCCCGAGCTGCCCCGTTCTGCCCGTTTGTGCCCTACCCGTGCTGTCCGTACCCGTTCGTGCCCCACCCATGCTGTCAGTTCTCGCTCGTGCCCCACCCGGTCTGTGCTGCCCGGTCTCGTGCTGCCCGTCACCCCCGTGCGGCCCGTCCCGTACAGCACCTAGTTGCTACCCGAACCCGCTACCCGTACCCGTGCTCCTCGCACACCGTGCACCTGCTGCGGGGTGTTCAACCGCAGCCGGGCACCTGTTCCACCACGGTGGTTCAGATGCTGCTTGGTGGTTGCTGCTTGTCAGCTTCAGAGGGGGCCCCTTGCTGGTGTTCCCACGCCCTGTAATGGGGTTTTACAGGTGTACCCCTTCAAGGGGGGCTCTGCACATGGTTATGCACTTCAGGCAGATAGGGGGTGTGTCAAATAGATTTATATATATTTAGTATAATCTGCCTGTAGTGTAGCTGTTGTGTAATACCCTTGTATGGTGGTGCACCTCTTTCACCTTTGTTAGGTTGCTATATGTACTCGTGTGCTATAGTGAACCTACACACATTCTCGACATTTCTCCTTGGCACAAACTCCTCGACACTCGTGGCCTAGGCTCCTAAGCCTAGGCCCTAGCTAAACCCGGTTCCTAAGTTAAGTTAGTCTCGTAACACTCTAGTCGCTGAGCTTGTTGACTTTGCTGCTGCCTGTCGTCTAGACTACGCTTGTTGCTGAGTCTGAGTCTGTCTGTCCTCCGTCCGTCGGGGGTGAGTGTGCTCTTGGCACGGACGTCCTTGAGGACAGACAGGAGGAGTTTGAGTGCTTTGCCGCTGCTTTACCTCATCTCGTGTCCATGCTGCTTGCCCCTGAGGGAGACCCGGATGCACCAGACATCCCGACCCCGCGCTCTTACGCAGAGGCGATAGAGGGTCCCTACTCCTCTCAGTGGCAGACAGCCATGGACGCAGAGATGGCTTCCTGGAAGTCCACAGGCACCTACGTCGACGAGGTTCCCCCGCCTGGGGCGAACATCGTCAGTGGCATGTGGATTTTCAGGGTGAAGCGGCCGCCGGGTTCTCCGCCTGTCTTCAAGGCGCGTTACGTTGCACGAGGCTTCAGTCAGCGAGAGGGAGTTGACTTCTTCCAGACCTTCTCCCCTACCCCGAAGATGACCACTCTTCGGGTTCTGCTGCACGTCGCCGCTCAGCGTGTTCACTCTCTTGACTTCAGCACTGCTTTCCTACAGGGCAGCCTGCACGAGGAGATCTGGCTGCGCCGCCCACATGGCTTCACTGGGTCGTTTCCTGCTGGTACCCAGTGGAGCCTCCGGCGGCCAGTCTACGGTCTCCGCCAGGCACCCCGTGAGTGGCATGACACACTGAGGACTACTCTTGCTGCTCTTGGGTTTGCTCCTTCTACTGCTGACCCGTCGCTGTTTCTACGCACCGCCACCACTCTGCCGCCGTTCTACGTTCTCGTGTACGTAGACGACTTGGTCTTTGCTACTGCTGACACTGAGGCACTCGCCCACGTGAATTCGGAGCTGCAGAAGAGACACACGTGCACAGATCTGGGTGAGCTGACAAGCTATCTTGGCTTGCGGATCACCCGGGACAGAGCACAGCGCACCATCACCTTGACTCAGTCACACATGGTGCAGCAGGTCCTTCAGCGCTTCCGCTTCACGTACTCCTCGCCTCAGTCCACTCCTCTCCCTACCGGTCACTCGCTCTCAGCTCCACCTTCGGACGAGTCCGTAGAGCCGAGTGGCCCGTACCCAGAGCTTGTGGGCTGCCTCATGTACCTGATGACCTGCACTCGACCTGACCTTGCATACCCTCTTAGCATCCTAGCACGCTATGTCGCTCCTGGCCGTCACCGGAAGGAGCACATGGATGCCGCTAAGAGGGTGTTGCGCTACTTGTGCAGTACGTCGGGCATGGGGCTTGTGCTTGGAGGACGGGCTCGAGTTGTCCTCACTGGTCACGCTGACGCTTCTTGGGCTGACGACTTGACTACGCAGCGGTCGTCACATGGTTACACCTTCAGCCTTGGCTCCGGCTCTGTTTCTTGGCGGTCTACCCGCTCGTCTTCTGTTCTCAGCTCCAGTTGTGAGGCTGAGATCTACGCAGGGGCCATGGCTGCACAGGAGTTACGCTGGCTCACCTACCTGCTGACTGACCTTGGAGAGCCGCCTCGTTCTCCTCCAGTTCTGTACGTCGACAACAAGGCCATGATTGCCTTGTGTCAGGAGCACAGACTGGAGCATAGAACGAAGCACATCGCTCTGCGCTACTTCCTTGCTCGAGAGTTGCAGCAGCGTGGTCAGCTTCGTCTTGCTTACGTGGCCACTCGGGCCAACACTGCTGATGTGTTCACCAAGGCGCTTCAGCCTTGTGATCATCAGCGTTTCTGTACTGTTCTAGGCCTTGTGCCTACTGTGCCTCACTTGCTTACTTCTTGACTTTGCTTGTACTGTGATCTCTATATATATATACCTGCATGCTTACACTTGCTAGGTTGTGATCACTGTACCTCTTGTTATGTTATCAAACTGCATGTGAACTGGTCTTGTGACCGCTTGCTTGTGCTCGGAATTTGTGTGGTTTCCTTGAGATCCACCCTGAGCTTGCTTTGCTTTGCTTTGACTGGTCTTGTGACCATCTGGTTGTCTCCCACTTCGCCTATGGGGGTGTGTCAAACATTGTATATGTTTGTGTTCTGTAGGCTATAGAAATCGAAAGCAGCGCCTCCCGAGGTCGGAAGGAGGGGGTCGTCATGGCGATGTTGCAGCCCCTCCTTCCACCATCTTCATCGTGGGCAGGGTCTAAAATTTTGCATAGGGATGGCATGGGAACCTGGGTAAATCAAGGGAATAAGAAAAATTCACTTCTCTCACACGTCAAGAGTTGCAAAGGCACGGAGTTGGAACCAGGGACTTCTGGGGATTCGAGGGCTGGGCTAGAGCTAGGCTAAAGTCTGCGCGTGAGAGAAGTGGCTGGGAACTTTCGGGGGGGAAGAACTTGAAGGGTTAACGTCTGGTTCGACAGGCTAACCCTTAACCCTTCATGTTACAGAGAGTTAAAGCCCAGTGACACCAGATTGTGTCAAACTTATATGCTATAGTCTGTTTAGGCTGTAGTGGGGTAGTTCCTATGGGGTACAACAGTTTTAGGTTTTCCTACTTGTACCCACCCCTTTCCTAGTGCATTCACTCTTGTTCATTCTGACATGGTATTACGAGCCTAGGTTAGCCACCTAGGACCGCTTACTACTACGGGCCCATCGTTCCGCTAGAAGCGCCCTCGTGCGCCCTGCCTTACTCGCGCCCTCGTGCGCCTCTCTCTGCTCGTGCGCCCTCGCGCGCCCCGCCCCTCGTACTGTTCGCGCGCCGTCCGCTAACCGCGCGCGCGCAGCCTGCTAGCCGCCCGCGCGCAGCCCACTCGCCGCCCGCGCGCAGCCCGCTAGCCGCCCGCGCAGCCCCGCACGTAGGCCGCCGCCTCGTGCTCGTAGGCCGCCGCCCGCACGTAGGCCGCCGCCTCGCACAGCAGCCGCCCGCACACAGGCCGCAGCCCGCGCGCCGCGGCTGCCGCACGCCGGCTGCTACAGCCCGCGCCCAGCTGCTGCCTACACGCAGCCGCGGCCCGCGCGCAGCCGCAGCCTACGCGCAGCCGCAAACCGCGCGCAGGCCCGCCGTCGCGCCGCCCTGCCTGCCCGAGCCGCGCCGCGCCGCCCTGCCCGAGTCGCGCCGCCCTGCTCGAGCCGCGCAGCCCTACCGAGCCGCGCTGCCCTGCTGTGCCGCACTGCCCCACCTGCAGCAACTGCTGCTCCTGTTCCTGCTGCTACTGCTGTTCCTACTGCTACTGCTGCTACTGCTACTGCTGCCACCATGGCTAGTCCCACCGTTCTCTCTTTCGATGCTGAGGGCCGTCCGATTCAGTTTGATGCTTGGCTCGACGACCTGCACCTGTTCCTACAGATCACTGCTAAGGACGATATCTCGCTGTATGATCACGCGTCCGGATCCGCTCCCGCGCCTGCTGAGACTGCTGACAGTACTGCTCGCTCACAGTGGCAGACTCGTGACGCTCACGCTCGCCTAGCCATTCGCAGCCACCTGCCGTTAGATGAGCGCGCGCATTTTGGCCAACACAAGACTGCTCAGGCGCTGTACGATGCTGTAGTAGCGCGCTACTCCTCGCCTGCCTCTGCTACGATCGGCCGTCTCTCGCTGCCCTATCTTTTCCCCGATCTGTCCGCCTTTCCCACAGTAGCTGATATCATTACTCACCTCCGCACTAGTGACACTCGCTACCGTGCCGCCCTTCCTGCTGAGTTTCTCGCCGCGAACCCCCCCCCCCCCCGATGTACCTCACTCTCTACCACCTCGTCACCCGTCTCCCTGACTCTCTTCGCGCAGTCAGGGACCACTTTCTCGCCCTCTGCCCCACCGAGCTCACCGTTGACCTGCTCGAGAAGCACCTGCTTGCAGCTGAGGCTAGCATAGTCGCTGTAGGTGCCTCTCGTGGCGACCCCTGCACGCCTTTCTTTGAGGGGTGTTCCCCTTCCCCCCTTCTCCCCTCTGTCGCCTCTGCTGCTGCTGTCGACTACCTTGGTGCTGAGGAAGTCGGGGCTGCGTCTGCTCCTAGTGGGAGGCGCAAGGGCGGCAGAGGCAAAGGGGGCAAGGGTGGTGGAGGTGATGGCGGGGGAAGTGGGGGTGGAGGCGGTGGGGGCGGTGGCGGTGGTGGGGGTGGTGGCGGGGCTGGGGGGGTCAGTGGCGGCGGCGGGGGTGGTGGCGGCAGTGGTGGTGGAGGAGGCCGGGGTGGAGGCGGTGGTGGTGGCGGCAGTGGGCGTGGTGGCGGCGGCGGAGGTGGTGGTCGGGGTGGACCGGCGCAGCGTGGAGGGTCTGGTGGTGTCCAGCGCCAGCAGCAGCGTCTCGACGAGACCCCGTCGCCCCAGCAGCTTCGTGAGTGGTACTCTCAGCATGGGGGGTCTGGGGGTGGAGGTACCTGCCCGTATGTCATCCGCACATGTGACCGCGCTGGTCAGACGTGTGGGAGGCACCACACACAGCAGCGCTGCTTCTCCCGT